CAACAACTGTTAGCCGTTGCACAAGAAGTGACTCCCCCCCCCTCTCCACTGATAAACGCTTTGAAGTTTGAAGCGATGGGCATTGGGTTCGAGTTTTAGTGGGAACAACACTCGGAGGCGTAGGCACATCTAGCTGAGGAACCTCAAATAAGACCAGATGCACGTGTTGGATTCCACTGGTAGCTGTACTAAATATCTACTTCGTTATCCTGAGTTGAAATGACCATCTCTATCTTTGATGCAACTTACGGATCCATGTGAAGGCTCACTGGAAGTTACCTATGATAAGATGACGACAAATAACTATGCCCATTTTCATGATCTACATTCAACACTGTTATATATTCAGTACTGGATGTCATCGTAATCTCTAAGATTGATCTGCAGTAGACGATATAATCCTGTTGATAAAATAAGGAAACTTTTGAAAGACGCGATAAGAATCTTAGTATGTTTGATACACAATTTGCATTTGGCAAAAAGATGCCAAATGAGTGGTCTGACACTGGCTTCTGGTTAAACGATAGAAAGTGAAATGAAATAACCAATTCATAATCAGTTGGTTGGTGATGAAATATCCGCTTGGATACAAAACATACCATTTTGAAATTTGCTAAATTACACCAATTCTTTGTGTCAGTGGGATGTATAACTACCATTGAAAGAATGTATAATGGTACAGTTTTCTACATTGATCTCTTTTGAAAACAGAACACATGAGGTTATAAGTTTATGATCGGAAATATTATCATAGAATTTCTGAAATGTGATCGATGTTCATACTAGGCGTATGAAAGGTGAGTTAACTGATGACGTTGTATACCTTCACAGAATGAAATGGTTTGAATATTTGTTGAATAACCTGGATGAGCGAAGGGTTAATTGCAGTAGGATCAGGTTGGGATAAAGCTAGGGGCGATCAGTCCAAGATATCAAGTCTCCCATTATTGATCGTGTAAGTAAAAAAAAACGCTGACATTGTGGCTGTGTTGCGTATGAGGTTACACTTAGTTTAAGGTACATATAGCCTAGTCTGCACACAGGCAAGTCAACTGATGAGCATATGAACCTTAGTTGACTGATATGCGTAGAACATATACTGCAGCATGTCGACCCACCGCTCACCTCAACGTGTTACACACTAGGAAGAGTTTAACTAGGTCGAAAGAGAATTCAGGGTGACAAAATAAAGACCTGATACCAGTCTATGAAGTATGTGACTAATGGTATCCGTCATATGAACTGCCTGAATGGAGTCTCTAAGAGGATAGAAATCAGTAGTTGAGGACTCTTAGTGACATGACTGAAAATCGATCACAACTGTTATCTCCAGATTGTTGATCCTCTTACACAACTTTATCTATTTTGATATCACTCTTGTTCTTTATATATAACTGTGAAGTGTGGAAACTTGGGTCGATGCACTTGTGCACGAGGTGGTTCTACGTTGATTTTGTCAGCTATATATATATATATATATATATATATATATATATATATATATATATATGTGAACTGGAACAAACTAGAAGATAAGAAAAAGTAACCAATGATGTAATATACTAATTAGTATGTTTGTATTTTTTTAAACTGATTATCTTAATAAAAATATATATATACTTAACCATAATTACATTAAGTGTCTATACATATATAATATATATGTATGTGAAAACGTAGAATGCTTCACTTCTCCAAGAAACAGAACTGTGAATAAAAACAAAATACACGAGGAGAGTGAAAAACTGGTTTAAAAAAAGCATAAAGGAATTTAACTCTGTACTGATAATAAAAATGTTCGTCATCAACATTTTCACTCGGATCACAAGTAATAGTAGTAGCATTTATGGTATGAACAGAAAGAAAAGACCATCATACATCAAAGTATGAAAGAGGAGGAAACTAAAAGATGGAAGGCATAGAAGAGATAACATATTATCTCCAGTCAGTAATATGAATAATGATAGTAAGAAAAATGTACAGAATGCTGAGTATACGTCTTCCCTTTCAGATAATTAATCCTATCCGTCTGTTTATTAGAGAATAATTGTACATACAAACAAGTGATAGTTTCTCACCTAAGAAATTCACATCCATATATATATATATATATATATATATATATATATATATATATATATATATATATATATATATATAACAGTATATTATACATATTGTTCTTTCAATTGTGTGTATATTCAATTGAGATTAAAAAGAGATAAGTGAGTGAGTGTGGGTATGGGAGGCAGGGGGGAGGGGAGGGGGCGCGGTGTAAATAAAAAGGAAGGTGTAACATTCAGATTGACTGTGAATACAGAGACAAATAAGAATGGAAAGTAATTTTAGCTATTGTTGACTTTTGATTCCAATTTGTAGGGGAAAAAATGTTTTTCTTTTTTACATATAATTCAGACTTCATTATTATTATTATTATTGTTATGAGATTACAAGTAATCCATGAAGAAAGAAATGGCACATCAATTGTACTTTAAGGATAGAAGTATTCTGAGCAATAACAATAATACTAATAGACAAGTTATATCAAAGAGATAAAACACGCATAACACTTCGTTTACATATACTGAAGTCTGTCTGAAAATTAGTGTATGTATATACACGTACACGATTTCCTTCTCGCATCTAATATATCAACAACAACAACAGAATGTGGTCATAAAATGCACAGTATGTATATATATATGTAGCGAGATAAACATTTTAGAGAAACTGGCAGAAAAAAATAGATGAATGACGAAAATAGAAAGAAAAAAAAAGTAATTGCAACCCGCGTCCACTCCACAACATAACAGAAGAACAAAGAAAAACACGCTTCTTTAGATATATTCTTTCACTAGCTAGCAACTATGCTAAGTATACATAGTCATTCACCCACCCACCCATCTCTACCCACACAGAAATAATCTTATAACAATGAAGAAGTCAAACAAAAGTAGGAAGCAAACAATATTGTAATTCATACACAGATACATACTACTACTACTGCACAATTAATCACTTACTAACTAGTGAATTTTCCAAGAGAAAAGAAATATAAAACACGATAGGGTGTACAACAAAACACTGAAGAAAAGAGAAGAAACGAATGAGAGAAAAAACAGTACAATACAGTAAAATAAAAGCATCAATGTACATATACACAGAAGAAGAAATAGATTAACCGGTCTCAACCTTACTACTACTAGTATTATAATATCACTTTGCATCTATGCATAAACATTAGATAGATAATAATGGCAATAATATAATGTGTACATATACATGTATATATATATAGTATGGGAGTATCCCCTCTCTCTCTCTATCACTGAATAATTCGTCGGTCAGTATATGAAATCTGTATCATCTTCATCGTTATCACTATGTACTACATCAATTATCTATTTGTAAACTGGTGTGTGTCTCTCTCTCTCTCTAACCCTAACTCGTATGTATGGGGTCAATTGTTGTACTCTTTTATTAATAATGATAATAACAATAAAGAAGAACAACCACAACAATAATGGTGTAGAAAAATAGAAAGAGTGAATAATTCATTTAAGGCGAAAGAAAAAAAAACCATTGTGACATAAAGAATATGAATATATCTGTTATCTTCATATGCCATATGTATGTAATATACCCCCAAAAAACAACAACATGAACAATGAATAATCGAGGGCAAAGTGGGAACATATCTGTTTTGGCGCTGATTTTAAACAAAATAATATAGACAAGACGAGACAACACAAATATTTATCAACAAGTAATGATATTGACCATCAAAATGATAATGACGGCGCAGCCATGGTGTTGGCACAATAACCACCAACAACAGTAGTATGCCAATGAATAATCATAGAAAATATGATAAAACAGAACCGGTATACACTACTGTACCCCTACATCCAAAAATGATAGATAATTTTCCACACAGACACACACAAAGAAAAAACGGAATCTCAACTCACTCCAACAACCGGGATATGCACACACATGTACATATGCAGGCGTGTGTGTGTGTACAGCTAGGCGCGTGTTTACATATGTATATAAAAATCCTAGACAGAGGCATCTATCTGTCAAGCATTTACAACAACAGTGGAGCAACAACAACAAAAAAAGTCATAAGACAATTAAAATAGGTTACAACAAATACACATATTGCATGTTAAAGAAATTCTATACCGAAAGAAAGCAATAATTGTTGAATAGAAGTAGTATACGAAAACATCATCCATATTGTCGTCTATACACTAGACGATAATCATGTATAACAATGAAGTAATGATGAGCAGACTGTTTAGGTACCGATTAACAAGACATTGAAGAGCATCCTTTGTTAATTAAATAAAACAATCAATACAATAGAATTTGCAATAAATTACAAGTATTTCGATCAGATTCTTTTCTCCCTGACATACACACACACACACGTACACCAACCGCCAATAGGATGATAACACAATCTGCTGCAATGACCTCAAATAAACATTTTCAAAGAATAATTTAATGTAGTACTATTGAGATGAAGCAATAGGAATGCGCCAAAACATCATCATCATCACGATCGATATTAGGAACAACAACAACAACAATAGCGTAAACAGAAGAGAAGGAGAAGAAGCAAAGCATTCATCAACAGAACAACATGTGATTAATTTGTCTAATAGAAAAATCTTATCAACATATAAACCGATAATTAGGTGTATGTACAAATGCAATCCAATCTTTGCATAGATAAATTAACTTAGAGTAAATAAATAAATAAATAAAATTATTAAAAAAAATTAGTAAAAAAGAAACCGATAAACAATTAAACAGAAATGTTGGTTTGTTTTTTTTCTTCTTTCTGTTATAACCCAATAAGAAATTCAACAAGTTATTATAGTCTTAGTAAGAATATAGATAGAAGAAAGAATTTTGTCACAAGATTATGAGTGAAGAAAGATGAATAATAATCCATAGTGTAGACGTAAACACAACCCCCATCGCATAGATTAGTTAATACGATGATGATTATTATTAACATGATCATTATTTGTTAGTGTATCATGATTTATAGTAGATATTAGATTAGTTGTCTGTGAATTAACTAATTCAGCATCAATTGATAATGGAGTAAAGCTTAGACTATGTAAATGATGAATAGATTGTACATTACTAGAACATGTAGTCAATCCATTAGTAGTTGAATTCAATTGATTTAATGGTGTTAAATGTCCAGAATTACATAGGCCACCACCACCATTTGGTGTATGTAAAAAACTGAAACCTGAAGCAGCAGAACCTGTCATAGAAAATGGTGAACCACAAACAGATCCATTAACAAGACTACGATAAAAGTGTTGAGCAACTTGACTTGATGGACCTAAAAAAAAAAAGAAATTGAAGTAAATATAATACATATTATTCATAAATATCAACTATGCTCCAACTTAGTCATATCATTATCCTATTTAACAAGATGAAGAACAAAAACAAACAATGAACAATAGTGTATACCTTTAAACATCTCCAACACATATAGTTTGAGGGTTATGAAAGTTTTATTGTCAAGGGTTGACATCTGTTGGAAAGCTATTTTGAAAACCTGCGATCACTGGAAATTTGTTTCATCCAGGGACCTAGGACGTATAGCTAGTACGCACCCCAAACTCGTCTCACTAAGGATCATGCTATATTATGAATTGGTATAGCGAAGAAACCGTAAACCATTGGACTGCAAATGCACTCACCATGAAACCAGGAGGTCTTGAGTAGTTCGATTCCTACTAGGGTCATGGGTACGTACTGCTTAAGAATCTCATACTAGGATGAAACAGATGTCTAGTGCTCGAAAAGGTTTTAAATATTTCTTTAAAGTACGTACTATTATCATTATCATTACCGTCAATGCTCCTACCATTATTATTACTTACTAGTTACTATATATATAAAACGACAAATACACCCCTACGGTGTTTAAACAACTATGTGGACATACAGACTATTTCGATTAGGTAAACGTATTTTTCAGGCAAATAGAAATAAGATTATAATATAAAAAATACAAGCGTTTTAGCGCTTTATTTATCACTTAGGTGTATGCGTATCTGACTAGATATACGAAAGATAACTACATTCAAGCGAATTTCACGCTTACTTGACAAGTAGACATCATAACAACATTTCTGTGATAATCAAATGAGACATATTATTACTAATCGCAGTAATCAGACAAACATTCATAATCATTATCAAGATGAAATATGGAATCAGGTATTGCTGTGTGACGGTCCAAGATGCCACACCTTATATCAGCACATCAAGTAACAAGGCAATAAAATGGAGATGAAGAAGGAAAGAAAAATCATTCAGTGAAGTAGAAGTAGTAAAAGAGAGGACGGAGGAATAAGATGTGTGTAAACATCTACGCCACTGACATCGCTTCTGAGCCATATCACGTAAAGTCTCAAACGACTACTTTCTCTTGTCCTGCAGACCTCCAACCGACTAGTTTGCATCGCCCTACACGACTCAAACCAACAGCCAACGACTTCATACATTGATGCAATGCTTCAATCTGGCCGTCCTCAGTCCCATTTTTCAGCCTGAACCTACTTCGGCCAACATTGTGTGACAAGGCAGACGGCTAATAGGCATATATAACACATCTCCGAGCCAGCCATTTCAGTAGATGAAGGTTCACAACAACCGTGTCAGCTAACTGATTTTTCCTTCCTAAAACTCTACACATGACTTCTGTGTTACTCACGTGGCGACACCACGAAAAACGGAATATGCTAAGAAAACAACGCTGGTCAAACACGTGCAGCCTTCTCATGTCCCTCACCTTCAATGGCTATGTTTCACAGCCATGCAATGGAACAGAGCAGACTGTAGCATAGTACACTTGACAATCGGATACCACGGGTGGCGTGCAGAGATTCCATCGGTCACTCACCCACTAGGGTTGATCCGACTTTCCAGGTAAGTGAAGTGGTCAACACACTCAACCACTACGCTTTCTATTGTTAGACGGGGCATCGTTGAAGACCAGTCCTGTAACAACAATTTGCATTTGGGTGGAGAGAATAGCACCCCAAACATTCTCAAATCCCCACTGAAGGTGTCCAAAGACTGCATGTTGTCAACGTCTTCACATAGCAGGACGATCCCACCTAAGTATTCTAGGCCAACCAAAAATTCTCCTCTATTGGTCAGGAAAATATTACGAAGTGCAGTTACACGTCAGATAAGCCAGTCCTGGTGGAAATAGTTTCGTGATATGCTTTGTGACTTTCACATTGAACAACAACACAGATTCTCTGAAGAAATAGGCGTGCTTTTTTCTGACGGTTGTACAGTATCTCTCCAGAGCATAATGATGAATTGAAATATTTTTTATTTTATGGAATGCATAACCATGTCGAGATAGCTTTGTTAGTTCTAGTATGATTTGTTAAGTAGCAGATATTATACTGTGTAGCCTCACACTTTTCGATCAGCAATGAAAAGTTGAGAGCCGCAATGACTACCTTCAGGTGACCAATTCACGTTTAAACTATCAATCTGTATCGAAATGCCATTAGCAATCTTGTGCACATTCGTGCAGTAGGCAAAGAGCCACACACACCTGTTGTGTGAAGGCTAAATCTCGGTAGGTGGAAGGAGGTTGGAACCTGCGACTCATTGGTTGAAAGTCATTCTCCCTAACCCAATGAGCTACAGGTACACAATGATGTTCCTGTTGAAACAGTTGTTTAGGCTTTCACAAAAGACTTTACATGCGTTATGATAACATATAGCATAAATAAAATATCGTAGTTTGTCATCAACAACGCCTATTATCAGAACAATCACAAAAATATGAGTATATAAACGTAGATGTTTCACCCTAGTTGTGACTCATCAGCTGCATACATATCTCTTGGATTCCAATTGGTAGGCCACCACATCATAATTAATCAACAGACAAAGCATTCACATATGAGCTCAACAGAAACGGATCAATTCGATTCAACATTAACAATCAACAGGAAAGTGAATGAATGAATAAACAGCACATAGTTTAATGCTTTACTCATCGACTGCATATATTACGGCGATGAATATGTTTTTTTTTTCCTTTGATATTTAAGCATTACCAGAGAGAAAAAAATTCAACTATAATTTGATGGATAATAAAAACATGAGTGTGTGTGTATATGAAACACAGTTGGTTGGAAAATCTGGTACAAGAATTCACTGAACAGCTTTAGTACTATACATAATATAGATATATTGATTAGATTGGTGATAGTTGGTGGATTCTGACGATTTATAAAGACCAAATAAATAGAAAAAAGTGATGAACAAAAAAGTCATAAAGACGAGGCGAAGTTAAATCACAATCGTCTCTGTGTGTGTGTGTGTACATCTATCAAAATCGCTATTACACACACACACACACATACATGACTTAATGATAACTGGTAGTTATTATTGGAGAAACATAGATTGGATATTCACTAATCACGTCAATCAATAGGTATTGAGAAGAGAAATATAAATTGATCAACAATAAAGTGTGCTGCAACTTCGTACACACACACACACATACACACACAGATTTACGTTGAGTTGTACGCTTTACAAAATAACACCAGACGAAATCGTATCTGCATGTATCACTCATAACAATTCTATGCGTGCTTTGAATGAGAAGGTGCGATGAGCAATGATTGAAAATAAACTGTTGAGCATAGCAGCAAAAGGAGATGATGATATGTAAAATTGAATTTCATTGTACATTAAAAAACACAATCATGAAGAGGTAGTATAATATAGAACTAAAGCAACATGAGCATATAAGTGATACAAATGATTCTAGATTAGGCTAAAATTAGTCAATGATCCTAACCAACGAGAGGTCCGTGTCACGGAGACTGATATGGTTGATTACATACATACATCACACAAAGTTATATCATCATAAGCAATGGATTCTCGTTTGCCGACCTGCCTCTTTCAAAGAGCATCTACACCACGTAACAGCCACTATTACTCTCACTAGTTAGTTTAGGCTCAGTTGTTGACAGTAGGAAATATAAAAAGTTCAGTTATACTAATGACAATAATCATTCTCAGTGTATTTACTCATAGGAATCAAGTTTCATCCCAGTTAAAATTCCTACTATAGCTTGCACGAATAACATGAATGTGAAGTGTCAAATAACAGCAATACAATTGTCAGATGAATTGGAGTCTTTAGAATTAAACCATTGAACAGGATTGTAAGTAAGCCATAAAGAAGACAGACTGCTAATCTGTAGCATACCCCTAATTTTCCATAGCTTTTGCCTGTTATTTTGTCCATGACCTTAAAAAAACCTACCGTTACTAGTTTTTTTCTCTCTCCTCTCAAGGCTGAACTCTCATTGGCTGTTAACTATTTTTACCTATATGTGGATTTAATGTTGTCAAGGTCATTCAGAAACGTATATATTGAGCATTGCTGTCATCCGTCTGTCTTCTCTTCTTGTCTTCACGAGTCGGTGGTGGTTAACGTACTAGTTTGAGTTAGAGTTGATTCGTTTACGCGTTAGGCTTGTATTGTTCGTAGACTGTTAGGTTGTCCTACCGATCATAGCATAATCTACAATCTCTAATATTTATTAGCAAGTTACGCTACGAGTTTCAGTTTCTTAAATGTTCAACATGAAAAATGGAATAACATTTTAATCTCAGTAAAATTTGTTGTATAATTCAAGGGTTAACACCACTACTGCTAAGGGATAAAGACATATAAACGGGTGGAATTTCATTGTTTCAGTAATTGTACTTCCCAATAAGAATGTAAAACAGAACAAAGTTGTTTCAACTGTCATTTCGCTATACCTAATGCTTAATAGCCTTATTAAAATTACAGTAAACCGGAATGTAAAATACCCAAGCTTATAATATATGAGAGAGCTGTGGGTCATTTGGTTTACAAAGATGACTTTTAACCACTGGGTCATGGGTTCGAGTCCCACCCCACTTACCGAGGTTCGCGCAGCCAGATCGTGTCACTAGCTCTCATACAATAGGTGTGGATCATTGTCTACTGGAGAAAGAGAAAGACAGACAGAGCTATGATTACAGTATTTTCAATTCAAAGGTTTGAATGAAAGCCCTTCAGTGTTCACTTTTTCCTAGTATTGATTTCACATGAAGTTTGTATCACAGTCTGAGCATTTCATTTTATAAATACACTTACACTGTAGATCCAAAAGGATGTCATCCTTTATGTGAACTAAGGTGGTCCTGCAATGTATTTGATATTTTGTAGAACACTTAGATATTCTATTTGTTGAGCACTCTCCTAATTTCACCTAAAGTGTATGGTGATTATTGTTGAGGCCCATGGATTTAGGAGTAGTTTTATGATCTAATTTAATATTAACTGAAACTTCATTAGGCTTTAATCCAGGGAACTAATCAAATACACAGTTTTTCTAAAAATATTTCGACTTAAATCGTATGATACAAATCAATGAAGATGTGTAGATTCATTGACGTCATACCTATTTTCGAAAGCGAATAGCTTACATAAATTAGGTGGAATCAGGTTCATACGATCCGGTGACCACCTGACTAGAAGAAAGTCAAATTACTGAACTACCTGGCTAGTTACAGTTCAAAGGTATTCGAATAGAAAATGGTTGACAATTTAATATTTAACTACTACTACTTAAAATATTCAACAGAATTTAATAACCAGTACTCAATGATAAAAGATTTACTTACGACTAGCTCGACTGCATGTACGTGACTGTTGCATTCCATACTGTTGAGCCATGTTTGCCAACATATCTATAAGTTCTTGACTTATCTAAACGTTAAAAAAAACAGAAGAGGGAAAAAATTCATACGGAAACGAGTTTATAGCCCATAAAGATTAAAATGAAGACATAATACGTTTACATAACACGTTTTCAACTACACTTTATCCGTAAAGACTAACATCATTCAGATAACTAAGTCGAGTGTTTATACTACTACTTCTACTAATGAGTCACAGCTCAACTAGTAATGGGGATAGTATTCTACTTTATCTAATCAGATCTGAATAGCTCGCATAAACAATAGGTGTAGCCCAAAGCCTATTTTATTTATATGAAACTGAAGCATAAAATGTTGCTGGTGTTTTCGAAGCATAGGATTCATTTCCATACCTAAAGAGACAGGTCGTATACATGTGGTAAGAAATGCATGTCAAATTATCATTCAAAGTATTGAAAAGACTTTGAATCTTGTCGGTTTCTTCACCTAACAAGAGTGTCATCCGCGTACTGTAGGTCTACTGAGAGATTTCTAGAGACAAGGTTCATTCCTATAAATCGCGAATAGGATGAGGAGATCAATAAGCACATCTATGACAAAGTTAAATAAGAATGGAGAGTCAGGGTCTTTAACAGGCAATATTCGACGTATAAAACCCACCTGACAATGCACTATGCACTCTATCAAATCCACAAATGTTCCAATATAGTCTTGGAGTAGAGGAAACAACCATAAGCCATCTTGAAAGATTAAATCGAATATCACCTTCAGGTCGAGAAATACAGCTGGTGTCGGGCGTCGGTAATTGTCAGTAAGGCCACTTAGAAGGGACCATATCTGGTTTCCATACGACAAGCTAACACTTCTGTTAATCGATTCCATAATACAGTGATAACCTGTCGATAACTGCTTTCTATACTCATTTAGGTTACCAATAGCCTTCTCAACTACCGTAACACTTGCAGTTCTTATCCCAATGTTCGATTCAAGACTTGACCAGGTGAACCTATTCGTTCCATTCGTCTTTCCTCTGAATCAATTACAAATCCATCTTTCTCCACAATCATCTCACTAACCATTGAACCTTTCACCCGAGCTTCATCGATAAGTCAATATAATTGTCGACTAGTGTTCATCACCTTTCCATCTGCTTAGCCTTGGTTGCCAACTCCTGCTCATGGTCATTATGTAGACTTTTAGAAAACCTTAAATCCTCACTGAGCTCAAGTCTGCAGGAAGGCGTTCACAAGCATCTTTTAATCCTGAACAAGCTGATAACATCAACTGACATCAACTAATCTTTTTCTGAGAGTCGGCCATCTTCTTTAACACTGCTTTATACAGCAGGCTGCAGACGACATCAGGTTTCTTCCAGATGAGTGGCGTTGTCCTGTTCCAAAAAATATATCTAACCTTTTCTTCATCGAAAGTAGCCTTGGTATACTCACCATTGAGCTGTGCTTTGGATAGTCTTGCTGCTACAGTTTTCCTATGTTCATTTAGGTGCAGATATATGCGTACTCGAACCAGTGCATGATCACCACGCGATTGATTGCGTGCTCCAGATGCAGTGATAATGTGTAACTGTCTCTCCCTGGCAACAACTGACAGCAATATAGCTTATCTGTAACCAATATTAAGTTCCCTTGGACGCCATGACAAACAGTGTCCCTCTTTATCTCTGAAGTTCGTGCTGGACAAGAAATAGATGTTTGTTCGAGCACAGTTGTAGCAGCAGCCAATCGTCATTGTCTGTTCTTTCGCATGAGATTCAACAAGTGTCATCTAACCGGCTCTCTGCCTCACTTAGCCTAACTACTCGCGCATCGTAATTACCTAAAACAACCACATCTGAGCGGTCATCCAACAATCAACAAGTGGCTAGACAGCTAGCTCCCAACAGAACTCATGCTACACTTCATCCGAACTGCAACCATTTCGTGCGTAACCGGAGATTACAAAGCAACAACATCGACTTTCGTCACTCCCTTTAGTTCTCATTTAGCATTTAGTCGGACAATCCACAATCAACAATAAAGTGAGTTTCAGTCCATCTTAGTACTACTTAATGCTATACCTAGACCAGCAAGATCGTGAGGACTAGTCATCAAATCCCCAGAAATCAGAAGGGTGAATTTCGCAGATTCGCCATATTGGCCAAGTGACTTTAGATGAATAGCAGCACTTCGGTCCTGTATGCGTATCTTACAAACGCATGACTCAAGAAGTCAGAGTTTTGGCTAGTGAAGCTTGTTAGCCAATCTGATGGAAGGCACGCACATTGAAAGCTTCAATGTGTAAAATGAAGTGTGGTTTCAGGGGACCAGGAGCAGTGTCCTGCGATGTTCAATCCTGATAAAGGGTCGTAGAACTCATAGAAATTAAAGATGACATAGGCTTACTAATAGAGGTGCGAAGATACCTAAGAAAGAAATTGGATTGTTAGCAAACTGCATGATCACAGAACCCAAAGACCATCTGCTTCAGCCTGTCCTATACGGTGATTTAGGACTTAAGCTAAAGATTCAGTATTTCACAGGGACTACAAGATCGCAAAGTAACGACGAATTCGCTATTTTCGGAGCTCACCTTTGCTAAACACTTACCCATAGAAGAGTGGTTTGGCATAGTCTGCTAGTCATCCGTCACAAATACTTTATTGCCTTACACCACGTTAAGCCAGGAGTACGAATTCGCCCTCAACTCACAACCAAAGCGAAAGCCTTTTATTTTACGACAGTAAATACTTTTAGTTTAGTCGAATGGAACCCACATGGAAAATGACGAGTTGGGTGTGTGAACCGATGGTGACATGCAAGAGATCATGTAAGGAAGAAGTGAAAGCTTGTGGGCAATCGTGGAATGAGGTGGAAAAGGCTGCAGAGAAGACAGTGCAATGGTGACGTGCTACTGAAGTTCCATGTTCCACTAGGAACCCAAACGACAACTATTCAACACACCTTTCTGATATAGTAGAACTTCAATGAACAATATTTTACCCAGCATAGCTCGTTGCGTTTCACTCATTTTAATTATCAACTGACATTTCATTTGATATGTAAGTAAAGTTGGTTATTAAGCAATGTCAAACGTCATGTCACAGAAGAATATCGACAACCACCAGTATTCAGATATCTAGGTGTTTCCAGTCGATTGGTAGAACACCTGCAACCCTCAAACGATACTAAAATTTATTTTTGGTCATAATTTATGTACAATATGAAGGTGGAAACTTTGCTTCTATGTTGTTTACATACAAAAATCACAGTGTATTGCAGTGCTGTGTCAACTAGCTTAATGACCACATTCTATTTAAATGTGATCCACAGGCTTTGATTGATACTACTTAACACTCGCCAACTCCATCATTGTTTACCATGTAGTGTCCAGTTGTACTTGATGGTGGTATGCAGTTTCAGGAATCATCTTGATCAGGATTACATGTTCAGTCCCTCTCTCTCTGACTGTTCGTCTTCGATGTGTAAAGAAATGTCGGATAGGGATCTTGGAGATTATAAAAATCACTGGTAAAAGACTCTCAGTGATAGATATGGCCTCGAAATCGGTCACTATGACACAGATGAAGACTTCTCCTATCATTTTCTATCTGCTTGAACATTTCGAAGTTAAAATGTCCACAGTAGACAGATTACCAATGAAGCAATGAACAACAACATCTAACTTCGATGAAGAGCATTTCATTTGCCTTATATATTACTCATTAGTATTAGGATCATTTATCACTCATTTATACACACAATAAAGATAAACAAAGTTTCATAACAACCATTTTGCTAAACTCTTCTACAATGACTGATAACTTTGAAATGTAGCTAAGTGGTTTATACAACAGATATTCGACTACTGAATGGCTCTTTTCAAAGTTACTACATCTACTGATATTTGCTAGTGAACATTGTGGTAGCGCACAATATTATCGACAAAACTTTAACTTCACCAAATAGGTGGGGTAATGCGGTCAACAATAGTTTTCAAATCTGCATATATATATATATATATATATATATATGAAAAAACTTACCCCAGATGCTGGTGAATTTCGGAGCAATGTAGCCAATTCTTGTATTGATTCCTCTGGGGTGAATCTTTTGTATTCAGTGTAAGTTCATTTGTATTATTACTATTATTATTATTATCATTAGTAGTAGTAGTATGAGTATGAGTATGATTGATAGTACAATTATTGTTATTCAATGATAATTTTGGAAGTAAATCTGAATCATGATGAAATGAGATTGGTTTGATTGTCGTCAATGTTGAAGTAGTTAGCATCTTTTGAGAAGACAATAATTTAGGCGGTGGTGGAGTTGATGATAATTGTCCACCATAGGTAGGTCTTCTTTCAATTCTACTAGAACTATTCAAATCATTATTGATAGGAAATGAAGGATTTTTTGTTTCATTTAATATAGAGATAGAGTGATTGATTTGTTCACATTGTTGTTGTTGTTGTTGTACTATGATTTAAATGTGAGAATAAGTGAATAGAAGATGATAACCGGGATGAATGATTATTATGTGTATCATTAGAACACGTAGTAACAGTATAGTTATTATTATTATTACTATTGCTATTGTTATTGTTATTGTGTGAAAGTAAATCCACAAAATCTTCGTTAGGGCTGATATCGAAACGTGGAAGACTACACGCTGATGCACTTCTTCGAGGATTAAGTGGAGTTGAACTGTTTCAATATGATTAGAATGTGAAGGAGGAGAGAGAAAAAAGGAAATCAGAGAAGAAACAAAAACTGGTAGTCACAATCCTAGAGAGTAGAAGTTTCCTACTAACTTCTTCTATTTAGGTAAACATCAATGAAAAATATAAAGGGGAAGTGATTCAATGAACACAATCGATATGAGTGAACGGAATAAAATTACAACAAAATAAAATAAGCTATGCAAGATCAATTTTTATACAAAGTCACTTTCAACAAGTCTCATTAGAAAGTTAACATTTCCCCGAAAAGCACCTTACACTAACAGATAATGTAGTCACATTCATTCATCGTTGTCATTCAATTAGCAAACTATTAATCATGAAGTACAATGTGTAACACATGTGCACATCAAATTGCAACATTACACTACGCATCATCATAGAACAGAGCAGAGAATGGTAGTCAACTTTATCCTCACCTCAACTTCATCGATTTTGAAAAGGCCTTCGATAGCCTCGACCAGGAAGTAATTTGGCAGGCAGATGCTTCAACACTACAGTTTCAATACCACAAACCTTTGTCAACCTCATTCAACAGCTATATGCTATGCTATATGATGCTAGATGCCAAGTGAGTCACCATAAAAAGCTCAGTGATGCCTGTGAAGTGAAGACAGGGGACAGGAGTAAGACAAGGTTGTCGCCTACTATCATCAATGATCTTCCTGATTGTGGTCAACTGGACTGGAGGACTGGATTATGCAACCGACAACTGTGACGAGCGAGAAAATGGGAATACACTGGCTGGACCGGTGAAAAGACTCCACAAGAAGATTAGGATTTCGACGATCATGATGGTGAACGTAGAGAAGACACAGGTGATGAAGATACCCAACCAACACCACCACCACCACCACCAACAACAACAAGAAGCACCAATCACCATCAACAGGAGAAATCTAAAGCAAGTTGTCTCTTCCACCTACCTAGACAAGGCGACATCGTTTCAAATACAGGTGGCACACGCACAGATGAGGACGTCGATGCCAGGATCAGAAAGACAGTAAGACAAGGCTTCATTAACTTGAAATAATCAGTGTGGAGATCTACTACACTGCACTCAGCATCCGCATTTTCAACATTACTTCAGTCAAGTAACTCAGTACTTCTATGTGGTGGTTGAGAGACTTGGCCTCTCATGAAATCATTTCCAACAAACTACAGACATACGTGATCAACAGCTGCCGTCTGCGCTCACTCAATACTGACACTGAAGATGGGGATCAGATGGCCAGAATGGAATAATCAGAATAAGCAACAAGGAACTCACTCTGAACTGGCAACCAACCAACAAACCACTAAAGAAGGCATCACCCAACAGATATGCAGAAGAGGAAAGTGGAGATGGATTGGATTGGATTGGACATACTCTGTTAAGACTATTTGGGGACATCACACATCAGACCTGACCAGACCGTCGAGTGGGAGCCGAATAGAAAACGACAAGTTGGGCATGTGAGCCGATGGTGACATGGAGAAGATTGTATGAGGAAGAGATGAAAGGTTGTACGGAGTCATGCAGCGAGGTTGAAAAGACTGCAGACAAGAGAGTGAAATGGTGAAGTGCTACTGAATCCCTTTGTTCTACTAGGAACCCACAGCAAAAATAATGTTACTAATAAATGTGTAACACATGTTACATACATCGTAATCGGCGTAAATTCACATTCTCAATGAGGAGTACATTCCTTCTTCAGACCTTTATGCCACATGTAATGTAACACTGTAGAGACAAGAAAAAAGTTAGTTGATAAAGTTGTGTAGATGTTTATCAACTCAGGTGACTGAGACATGTGCTGCGCGTGCGTAGTCATAGTCGAATGAGCTACATTTGATCTAGGATCCTTCAATACATCTGTCATATAGAACGCAGGAAATAGGAGGGTTCAATACTCAGGTGTATTCTATTATCGCATCACTTCTCGAAAAATGACCCTTCTGTTACTCCTGTTACACTCAGTAATGTCATGTTTTAGAGAGAAGAGAAGAGTCACCTGATGCCCTCTGAAACCTTCATCAACACTGACTAGGAAATGTGTTACTAATGCACAGTCACATTGACTGAAATAGGTCCAAACTGGGGAAAGTCTAGGGATGGTCAGATAAACATGGCGTCATTCCCTGAACTGATTGACCCACCTGACCATTGGGCAGAACCATTTAGTGAATCGTCGACTTCTTATCTGGTGTCTATGTGATAATGGAAATTGTCGGCTACAAACTAGATATTATGGCTCATATTAGATCTCAGTGATACAGAGATACATCAACATATTATATTCATCTCAATTATTAGACTGAACCTCAGTATTCTCTCATTTGTCCTACCTCTCTCTTTTCATGACTTCCTACCACTCTCTTTATCTTTCATGTTGAAGTATGTTTGTCACTCGATGTGTTGAATTGAGGTGTGTCAACTTCGATCGTTACGCAGTAATCTCAAGTCCCATGTTGATTTCATTTGTCTCTCTTTTCGTCTACGCTTAGTCTCGAAGCTACTCATCCAGTGACTCGATCTCACATCAACAAATACTTACAAATAGCTACACTTGAACACAGGAACCTTTTTTGTTCATTTGTCATTTGTTCCTACAGGCATGGACGACAGACATGTGGTACGATGATTAACAAGTCCCACATAGATGGCGAAAAATTCCAGTTCTGCATTCATATGAAAGTTTCATTAACCATCAATGAAACAAGGTTGACAAAGCGATTCAAATAAGCGTCAACAAATATGTAACACAAGTTCACGGTTTCTATCGGTTGCCTAACACACTTGAAAAAACGTAAACATACTATTTTGTCTGGTATGTGTAGCACAAATGCTGAGGCTTTGTAGAAGTTAAATCACGATATGTCATTCACCGTATGGCTCCTAATGCATTTTTAACTAATATCAGAATATTATCTATCACAAGTCACTAATGTAGACTTGAAATAGTGATCTGTAGGTTACGATATTGGTAAGTAGATGGATAGAAGTAAAAGCGGACACCGGGGACGCCGAATATTATAATACACTATCAAAAGTAACTACTAAGCATTCAAATATCTAAGGCAATCAGTTTTAATGAGGACGTAACGGTTTAAGTTACTTAGGTATAAATTCGACCATGCTCAGAAGATTGGTTTCTTGACTACCACCTCCAAGATGTTGATGACTGATATATAAACATATCGGGCTTGAATAGAAACCATGATGCAAGAACTGTACGTTCGTTTCATGGTAACAATGATATGTTGGCGGTGATATGAGATGAAAAGGTGACTCTTTCCATCAACTGAAAATCGAGAGTATCACCATATACAATATTTGTAGGATACAAACAAAAACAGATAACCAACACTGAAATGCTGAAACTCATTTGTGTTTCATTTACCATTATTATCCATTTGATGAAATGTCTTTCTGAATATCCTTTCAATGCTACCCCCAACTTACATGTGCTTATATATAAATGTACTTAAAGAAAGATAAAACACTAAAAGAAACGTTAAAAAAGCCTATACAATCAAGCTAAAAGTATCCGTAAGAGAGATCAGATAATCAGGTATGCAATTTAGAGACCGACTAATCATCATCATCATCATCATCATCATCATCATCATCATCATCATCATAATTGAATCGAAGGTAAGTGTAACGGGATACAAACACACATGAGGATACACGTTCACATGTGTACACTAATTGATAAACAGTTTATAAGAAAAGATAATAAGAGTTAAATTACATGTAAGCAATAATAAAGCGGTAAAAATGATGATGATGATGATGATGGTCAGAGGGATGCAAAGGAGGAAGAAGAATATGAAATCTTAGCCTAAGTAAAACGAACTGGCGGTAATTAACTAATTTCAAAGGAAAAATGACCTTCTTTTGATGCATTTCTTCCCTTGAGAAATCTGTTTGACAAAATAATTTATTCATTCATCTCAAAAAAAAATTGAGAGAATCAAGTAAAAACACTCGACAACACATTAAGAATATAAAATAATAATCATGATGATGATAATAATAGTTGGGCGAAAAAAAAGCAAAACAGAGTTGAACACCAACGAAATGGATAATTTGAATAGCTTAGAAGATATATAACTAAGTGAATTAACATCAAAAAGACCGGGAAGTTTAGCGGTGCCATGAATAAAATAATGCGTGTAGATTCTGTGCTTACTATGTGCTCATTTATCAAGCAGTCAATATCAATATAGTATCAGGCATTACTGCACATCTGTCCAAAGTAGTGAGATGAAAGATGAAGAAAGAGAGGAAGGAGAAAATGGTGAATTCAGTACGGCAGTTAAGATGATATCCATTCTGAGCCAGATCATCTAAAGTCTCCAACCATTGCTTTCTTTGGTCCCGTGGACCCCAACTAGCTAGTCCGTATCTGCCTACATGACTCAGATCAGCTATGTATTGATGTCATGTTTTAATTTGGCCGTTCCAAGCATTTTTTCCAGCCTAAGCATACTTCAAATAACATTGAGCGACAAGGCAGACGGTCAATAGATATATGTAACACATGTCCCAGCCATCTTAGTCGATGAAGGTTAACAACCACATCAACTAACTTTCTTCCCTTAAACTATACATCTGAATTCTGCGTTACTGATTTGATGATACCACGACATACAGCCTATGTTACGAAGGCAACAATGATCAAACACCACATGTCTTCTACCTTTAATGACCATATTTCACATCCATAGAGTAGAAGAGAGTAGCACAGTACACTCGACCTATAATCGACAATAGGATATCGTAGAGGTGGTAAAAAAATGGCGTAAGTTGGTGAAAGTCAACCTAGTCTTTTATATCCATGAAGATATTTTGTCAGCCACTCACCGAACAGGGTTGAAACAAACTTCCTACTCAGCTAATTGACTCTCTTTTGTTAGATGTGGCACCCGTCCTAGAGCAACAATTTGCATTCGGGTGGCGAGAATAGCATCGCAAACATTCTCAAATTGCCACTCAACGTGTCCAGAAGACTCTGCATCTTGCCACTATCTTCACCTAACAGGACTATGTTATCTGCGTACTCCATATGTACCAAGGATTCTACAGTAATATACCCGTCGCACAAGGAGTGGCTATCATCATTCAGTGGGCTACTGAATAACGCCCTGGTGTTTGAAGCGGTCGGTCCTACGTTCGAGTCTTAGTGGGTGACAAGTCCCAAATAGGGCGAAACAACCATTCTGGATCTAACTGCTAGCTACTACCTATTATTATTGTTATTATCATCAAACTCCTACAGTTGGTCTGAATATACATCATTCAGCAAAGTAAATAAACTGCCAATTCACATTTGTTAATCATCATGGACTGACATCAGTTGGAGGAACATTAGAAACATGGAAGCACTGGGTGGCTGTTTCATTCTGGTATGGGTTTCCTCAGCAGTGCGTACCCATGACCCTATCCTACAGAGATCGGACCCAGGACCTTTAGTTTCCCTGGTCAGCACATTACCAATGAGCCACTGGGTCGGATTCCAACGGTCCATTGTTTCTATGTTCTGTCAGTTCACGACATAGCGCGACCATCACCTAAACCTGGTGGTTGTGAGAACAGATACTTAGTGATGATATTGGACGATGGTCGCGCTATGTCGTGAACTGACAGAAGTTGGAAGTATGGACCACTGGATTCAGACCTAGTAGCTCAATGGTCACGTGCTAGCCATGGAACCTGAAGGTCCTGGGTCCGACCACTGACAGAGCAGGGTCATGCATGCGCACTGGTGAGGAGTTCCATAGTAGGACCAGACAGCTGTGCAGTGCTCTCAGGTTTCCAGTGTCCCTCAAACTGATGTTAGTCCATGATGAATACCAACTTGAAAAGTGACTAAGTCCCTACAAACTTCCAAATTAAATTCACAGTTGGTTAGATTACATCGTATAATGTCTCCCTACTAAATGATGCATAGTTTAGCTAGGGAAATCAACTCAATATCACATCCGGCTTACATGTATCACTGGGAAAAAAATAAAGTGGCTCAGTCAAGCAGTGTAGACTATAAGCCACATTTGTTGTGTGAGGGGTTTATGACACTATTCGGTTGCTTAGACTAAATTCAATCAGTTACAGTTGCACCGATAAAAACTAGTATACAAAGGAGGCATACCGAATTTATTGCACAGTGTTAAATAACAAAAAACAAATAAATTGCATAGTTTATAATTCATAAATAAACAGAACAATCTCATTCATTTTCATCTGCCCTCATGATATATATATATATATATATATATATATATATATATATATATATGTCTTAAGAATGTAGACGGTAATACTAACATGTAAGTATTAAGTATGAATGAGGCTAGATTGGATTGTGTATGCAAATGACCTCTGAAACAATAAGCAAATACATCATAACCCGAATCATAATAATATCATAATCATCATTCGGAGGATCGACAGAATACATATCAACTCTTGTATAGAACCGTTATATGGTAATACTTGATTACTCCTATGATGATGATGCTGATAATGACATTGTACAATAAAACATAAACAGAAAAAATCTAGTGACATTTTTTTGAAAAAAATAGTTTCATTTTAGCATAAATAAACGAATACAGTGGTTATCCATCTAGCTAGAAAAAAATATTACTTAAGAGGACAAGTTAATTCATTGTAAACACGGTACGAATATATTATGATAACTGTGTGTCGTAGAGGCTAATTGAAATGAACAAATAATATCCACAAGGGTTATACATAGGTGATATTGAATTTCCCAATCAATAAAATGAGTCAGTCAGTTAGTCAATATCAATATGGAAGCGAAGATAACTGCATAACGGTTCAAGTTATCATGCCTCATATAAGTACATCAAGTAACAATGCATCACTATGAGAGGAGGCCATACAGATTGGTGATTGGAGGCAGTGTGTGCAAACACAAGGATATTCGCAAAGCGACCGAGAAATAATTTGCAAGTTGCTTCAACACTACAGTTTCAGCGCCACAAATCTTTATCAACCTCATTCAACAGTTACATGACCACGCCACATGCCAAGTGATCCACAATCGAAAGCTCAGTGACACCTTTGAAGTGAAGACACGAGTAAGACAAGGCTGTCTACTATCACCCATGATCTTCCTGATTGTGGTCGACTGGATCATGCAGCAAACCGTGAGGAGCGAGAAGAGGGGCATACTCTAGCTAGACCGATGAAAAGACCCTAGAAGATTTGGATTTCGTCGATGACGATTTATGTCTAATGTCGCACAAACTCGAAGATCTACAGGCAAAAACTAACAAGTTGACAGAAGAGGCAACGAAAGTGGGAATAATAATAATAATAATAATAATAATAATAATAATAATAATAATAATAATAATAGAACCTGGTAAACAAGTGCATCACCTCAAGTTGTCACACTTTACTGTAGTGTACAAAGAATAGGTGGATAGAAAAAGAGTGATATCAAAGTAGATAAGACTGTGTGAGAGAATAAACAGTTTGAAGATAAACGTTAGTGCGAATGTTCAAGCTAGAGAAGGTGTCAAGAAGTGAATACATGGACACCACTGTGACCAATTCTCAGCCACTTCACCATTGATTTTTTTCGTCTCCAGGACCCAGACTAGGCAACCTGTCTTCACATGCCAACCAGACCAACGATCATAGACGTCATGGACTGGTGCCAAGTGTTGGTCTAGCCAGGCTGAATCGTTTTCCAACCTAATATATCCCCCCCCCCTTGTAACACGACAGGCGCAGTAAGCGCCTAACCCATCTCAGCGACCCTGCCTGTTTTACCTAGTAACCTTCGCCTCACATCAACCCTACTCTGACATAATAATCCTACCAAACGCGAGCAATGCTACGAAGATACCTATGATCGAAACCCTGCAACCGCTTTATATCTTCTTCTTTGAACACGTGACCGATTTGGTTGAAAGTCTACTCAGTAGACCAATAAGCCCTACAGATTTCTCATAAGTTTATACTAGTTGGCTGTTCATTATATTAAAAAGGGCAGTTACAAGATACGCTCGAGGTCAATCATTGTTGAAACATTTTAATTTATAAGACATACAAACAATAGGTAAATGGTAAAACGTAACCCCCTCTACACTTCAACAGCTTATGAATTCCTCGATAAAGAAAATAATGGCAAAACACTAAAATAAGTTTCTTGAAGTGTAGCCTTATCTCATCTACTAATTATAATAGAAACTATTATTCATAGACTAACTAATTAGTATAGTTAGCATAAATGAACATTTAAGTAAACAATGGGATAAAAATAATATCTCATTTGAACATACCTATCCATTAGTGGAGATCCACCAACATTGGCTAAAGCAGCAACCATAGCAGCTATTACTCGACGTCCATTTGGGCTAGCTGCAATTTCAGAAGAAAGTATCTCATGACGATTATGATTGATAAGTGAATAATGTATTCTTCCACTATGTTCAACTTGTGAATTAATATTATTTAAATGAGATAATGTATATTTCGATTGTCCATTACGACCAACCATAATATCTACTAATTCTTGATCCATTTCAGCTTCTTCTTCTTCATCATCATCATTATGATTTGTTGATAGATTTATATGATTATTATTAGTTAGTTGATTTGAACTAGAATGATTTTTGTCTGAAATTCGTTTAGGTGAATTGTTTAATGAATTTGTTGTCACTGTTGTTGTAGATGAAAGACTATTAGAACCAGGATTACCGTTTATATATCCTAAACTTGGGTGAATCATTTCTGTTGAACTGGAACGACCAACTACTCTACCATGTACAGGAACTAGAAAAAAAAAAAAATAATAAAATATAATGAATATATAAGCTTATTATTTTAACTATCTGAGATAGTTATAGTTTGGCAAACTACTGTTTATACTGGATGATGATTGAAGGCGAAATAAAAATTTCAACCATGACCGGATTTGAGCATCAGCCTGGGGTAACCCAGTGGTCACTGGTTCGAATCCGGCCACGGTCCAAATTTTCGTTTCACCTTCAATCATCACCTAGTATGAATATATATGTGCCCCAAAACTATATTTTTATGCATAATCATATTAGTACTTAGTTAATAAACTCAGTAATAGGCCAACTGAATAACAGAACAAGAGAAGTTTTCTTTTCAGTGACTTCATTCTTGAGAGACATTGCTGGAGAAACTCTATCCACTACCGCATAGATCTTGAGCTATGTAAGTATCACCGCGTTTCGCTACTTACATTGTCTTTTCTAAACATAATAATAATAATAATAATAATAATAATAATGGCTGTTATTCTGAAAGGTAGTTCGGGGAAATAGTACACAACTGGCAGCATATCAAATGGCATTAATTGGACATAAATAGTGTATATGTATACATAATAAAATAAGTAGAAATTATGAGGATTTACTCCGTCTACAAACTTTCTAGAAAATTCAGAGGTAATTTGATAAACATTTAGTTCCTTTGATAAATTTGAACAATGCAAGAACAAAGACATTTCCAGACGCAGCTACATAAGATGGACTGAAAAAAAAGCGTCTATTCGATTTTATGAGCATATTCCGAGAAATCTGCATCTGAATGGTAGTAAGGTCTTTAGGAGTGCAATCGTTAAGCATCTGATGGAAACAAGACATCAAGCAAATGTTTCTCAATCCTTCAGGATAATCAACAAAAAAGAACACTATGTTTATCATGGTTTGGGGAAACTCTTGTTATCAAGCATTTTTAACCTGAGCAATGTACTCAGAAAGAGACTGTAGTTGACCTTTGTCTTCCTTGCATGTGTGTATGTATATAGACGTCTCTTTTCTTTTGATTGCATCATCTCCCCAATGATTACTTATTGACAGTTAATCACTTAACAATTTTCCAGTTTTTCATGTAATTACGTGAGCTATTGGCTTGGTAACAACCCCTTCCTTTACATTGTTTGTTTGTTTGTTGCTTTCCTCCGATCCCCACTCCTAAGCTCCAGAATTTTCTGTCTCATCAATTATAGATCACCATTGATCTGACCAAGATTTGTAACTATTAATCCTCTGCTTCCTTCACTCAACACCTGGATTTCAAATCTTCACTTATTTCTACATATTTAAGGTATGTTATGCTATTACTACCAATACTTCATTTCAATTGTAGCCTGTTTGCAGTTGATGGCGAGCCATGAAATAAAATGAGCTTATTTTATTCTGCAAATGTCTTTGGTCTTGCATTGCTCAAATTCGGTAAACAGATTTATTACTAATTAGATTCATAATACATTAATTACAGTAAACTGTGTGATTTTTAATCAGTCTCCTCTCAAAAACCAAAGCTGAATAGTTAACGTATTTCTAACACTTTCTTCCCCGCGCAGAAAACGAGCTAAATCACGAATGGTAGGGTTTCCATATTTAGTAGTACCTGCATAAAGCCTTAGATCCATTTGCTCCTCGTCTTCTCTGATGACCAACACGTGGAAAGCTTCCAGTGAAGAGGATCCTAGTCATCTAATAAAATATCACTTAAAATGTTTGTCTACAACAATTTCAATCAGAAAGTTTACACGTACACCACTAGTTCTGCTGAAACTCTTCAGCGTTCTACACAATACAGCATAGTCTCTTCTCAACAACCCAGAAAACAATAAAGGAGAATAGACAAGATGCATGAGTTTATAAAACATGAGAGGAGAGGTTGAGTCATACCACATACCCTCAGCTTCCTAATACACAAGGTTAGGTGACAGATTCATTCGAAAATTAGTGAGATATGAGAGGATGAGGAGAGGTTGGAAGAGAAGCAAAAGACCATTCATGGAGGACAATCGTGTAACAGTAGATAGGTAATCATTCGGTTGGAAACAATCTGTTGAAGATGAGACAGGTGTGGGAACTGTCAGGTCATCAGAATATTTGATCAAATTGATACTAGCTGAATATGTTGTCATACATAAAGGAAGGGGAAATACAAGCGAAAGGATTGCTGCTTAGGGAACACCAACTCCAATAAGCGACGAGGCGGAGCGCTGTCCACTGTGAACAGTTTCCTTTCAGGGAAACAGGAACACAGCCAACTGATTACTCAGAACTTAGTATGAGTCCTGGCTAGCTTGCCTAGTAAAAAAGATCTCGGGAGAAAATCAAATGCTGAAACGCAGTCTTAAAGGTACACCTGATATGCTTTGCATTTCTATCGAGATTATAAGCAACACTGTGATATAAGACAATGGTAGCATCCAGATTACTTCTTTTGCTTTTGTAGGCAAATGGATTAGGATCTCCAAAAACCTTTATTCGGGTTAAAGTACAGGTATTATTAACTTCTCCGATATTTTCAAGAACGGAGAAGTAACAGCAATCTGACGAAATTTCAGATATGATTCTGGAGTCACCGACTTAGGCACGTGGATTATCTTAATATCTCTCCAGACAGCTGATATGATTTATTTTCAATCCTGACTTACTACAAACTTACTTCTACTTGCTTGCTTTTTCCTTGATTGTAATTTACTTAACTTAGTAGCAGTCTGAATGTAACATCTTTTACATGTTTAGTGTAATTCCTCAGATATTTCATCGAATGAACGAATAAGTAAAACGCGTTCAGTCACCTTGTACACATCTGTGCAGTAAGAAATGAGCCATACCTATTGTGTGAGGGCTAGTGGTACTACCTGCCTGCCCAAACCTCGGTAGGTGGAGCGGTGCTCGAACCCATGACCCAATGGTTTAATAGTGATCTCTGTAAACCACTGAGTCGCACCTCCATTTATCGAGTGAGAACAACACGTTTTGAGATGGACATCTAACCGTAAGCACCGAAAAAAATTACAGATGCACTTATAAAATGTGTGTATTTTATTGAAGATGAGATTATTAAAAAGAATATCTCTTCACAGTTAACTACTTTCTTTTCTTTCAGATAAGCAATAATTTGAATGACAATCATATCGGTTATGAGCTACATTAAAAAAACTAGGCAGAAAAGTAATCACCGAAGATAGTAACTCTATGATTAATTATCTGGAGTATAGAAAATGCAACAGTAAACAATACTGCGCATAACTCGAATCAAAAGTTTATTTGATTCATCAAGAATATTCTGTAGTGTAATATCATATCGATGATATAATGTGGTAAGATAATATAACCGCTTAATGTTTAACCAGTAGATTTTACAGTTTTAAGCTCACTCTACACATAGAAAGGTTATTAAAACAGCAAGCATCCCTGGCCTTGTGGCTAAACATACAAGGGAACAAATATATCACGGAGCCTTCTCAAATCATACTGGTCTAGTTCTCTGATCACCCCAATGTGTAAAAAGGGAGAGAAGTCTTCATGCTACAACTATAAGGGAATTGGTTTGACTAATGTTGCATTTAAGATCCTAGGGTCTATAGTTACCCAATGCTGAAGTGGAGTTGAGAACAACAAACTAGACGAGATTAGACCGATTTCATACCAGGAAGTATACGTCGATTGAAATTTCATCCTTCGACAAGGCTCTGGGAACAAAGGCATACGCACCGACTAACAGCCGATACTTGCTTTATTCGTAGACCTGAAAGTGACATTCGACCCTGTCAACCACGAAGTGTTGTGGCAGTGATTGATTGTGAAAGAAACACCGAGCAAGCATATGATGCTAATCAAGGCTTTCTACTCGAAATCGTGCAGCTGTGTCAGGGTGTATGAACTAATGACAAATAGTGGTTTCAATTTGGGGTGCCAACTATCACCGTTCGTGTTCAACTTCGTTAAAAATGTATTGATGAACACTACCTTAAGTATGCCTGACTTCATATTGATTGATTTACTCCCTGGAAGGCGTGTGATTAGCTTGGAATGTGCAAACGACATTGTCCTGCTACGTGGAAACGCTGACCAAACGCAGTCTTCTGAACACCATGTACAGGAATCTGTATATTTTCGGCATGAGTTTCGCATCTGTCATATGTAACATGATGCTTCAGGATTACCCTACAAATATTCACACTTTAAGGAGAGAGAGAGTAAAGTGGTGGAAGGCGACAACCACTTCACTTACTTGCCGAGTTGCATCAACCTTCTAAACTGTCTGGTTGATGACGAAATCTAACATCGGATACAGAAGGCCCGTTTGGCATCTGCCAACTTCCGTCATCTGTGGCACCGCCTGGACACAGATATCCTACTATCTATCAAAGTACGAATATACCACGTTGTAGTTCGTTCTGTTGTGTTATACCACTGTAAGACATCGCCGTTAGAAGTAGATATGCTGCGATTACAGGGTGTTTTCGTAGCATTGGTGGCGTTTGGTGGGATCACCATGTGAGCAATGTTGGGATGAGACGAAGGTTATTGGTCAAGACGAGGAAGTCAACTGATGAGGTTATGAGCCTTCACTGGGTGAGATGCCTTGCACATATGTTGCGTATGCCGATCCACCACCTACCTGGATGTGCCGTGGTAGAGGGAGTTGTATTAGATTGACAGAGGGTTCAGGGTGGCCAGACCAAGATATGGCAGCGTTGACTTTGTCTGTCTGTCTGCCTAGCCAACAGTAAAAACAATTCAAGACTTCATACTTTTCAACCCCTTAGTGGTAGGTAAATAGGGGGGGTAAATACTATATTCAAAGGAGCTTAAGAGAAATACGACTACTTTGTACAAATAGATATCAAGTGAAAATAAAAATATAGAAAATAAATAGATCTACAAAGTCGAAGCACAATTTAAACCTATTATCAATAACCCTGATAGAAAAACCCAATGTTTGCCTCAATAACCTATTTTCTTTCATAATATCGTTTTTGATGCCATTTCCTACATTATAGCAAGTAGATTGTTTTTCCCAACTTTCTTCAGTGCTACTTTCTTATTGATTGGATGTTACTTTTAAAGTAACAATGTCCTTAATTTTGGACAAGACCGAAATCTCTCTGTATACACACAGCTGTTCTGATTTGTTTTGCGTCGATCACTGAGATGCTAAAAAGCTTCACATTCGAAGAATATGTTCTTTTCTGGATTCATCAGCACTGTTGGTATCCAGAAATTAGACAGTTATAAACAGGGTGACTTCAAAGGCCACCCTGGCAACAACTGAAATAACCAATCAGACTCCTGTATTTTATGATAATCTACCTTTTCAGGCGAAATTAAAAAAATAATTGGTTATTTCGATCGTTGCTAGGATGGCCTTTAGAGTCGGCCTAAGCAACTGCTAGGGTGCCTGACCAATCAGGCTTCGATATTTCGCCTGGGAAAGTACTTTTCCACAAAATAGAGGAATGCAATTGGACACTTCATCAGCCGCTAGGGTGGCTTCTAAAGTCACTCATCTGGCTATCAAGCCTCAATAGGCGAACACGCAGGGTTGAAATATATGACTCATTTGGTTAGAAGTAGAAGTGCCTACACCACCGAGAGCAGTTTTATAAAGTAACCAGTTCGCAGTTCACTGGTGTGAAAAGTATACCAAAAATTTGTCTTCATTCAGTTTATAAACTTAACATCCAGATATGACAGTTCAAGTTAAAATACTTCTGATTATTTTATCCATCGTTAATTGAGAGACGTGAAGGAAGATTAAAAGGTAATGATGAAGGAGGTGGATAGCAATTTGAGGACACTTGAATGCTGACAGAATTTTGAGGGCAGTTGACACTTCCCGGCTACCCACACCGTGGAAAGCTATTTCTTCTTAAGGTACCTGAAAGAGATTTGTGTGACCGTAGAGCCCATCGGACATCTGCTTGAGGTCTGCCACATGCACCCTTTTGTGTATGGTTGTTTTAACCTTTTTTTATTTTGGGGCCAGATGGTCGAAAAGAAACAACAAATGAACCAACACCGCCGGCCCGGCAGATCGTGGGGTATGGTGGAGGCCGACCTTTTCTAACCCATCCCCTTCCATTGAGAAGGCAGCATCAGCATGGTACTGCTGTCATCCGAAGGGGAAAACTTTGCTTCTGTCATACTCCAGCTACCGGCAGTACGACTTCGTCCTCAGACCCCCCATCATAGTGTAATTTACACCACAAGTGTAACTGCTTTTCGTTTGAACACTATCCAACAGACCTTTCTGATATGGTAGGACTTCGACGGGACAAGTGTTCCACCAGTATAGCTCGTTGGGTCATTGTGATATGCAAGCCCGACTACCACGTCAAGGTAGCAGCTTTCGGTCGGATGATTATTATATACCAAGAGATGATCCGAGAAAAGTGACAAGACAGGATAGAGAAATAAAATAATCACAATGTAACCCAACGACCGTGTGCAAAAGGCAACTAGCTACACCTAGTAAGTGTCAATTAGTGGTTCAGACTTCATTAAGTGGGGTTGATTTCAAATCTGCAAGCCAGTGGAATGAAAGATGGGTACTTAGACAAGAGCACTATAGCTCCACATAGAAGAAGAGGGAAAAAAAACCTAATCCTTACTTTAAATAGCTTACTTATCAAAAGAATATAAATGTATAGAAATGAATGCGAAAATATTTACACCTAAAATAGGTAAACTTACTAAATGGTGTATTATGATGAACCATAAACGCATTTGTTGTCGATTCTAGAGATGATGCTGATAAATGGGAGTGAGAATCATCAAAATTGGAAAGTCCCATTGTATTTGATGAAGGGCAAATCATATTTTCATCAGATGAACCATCGATTGTAGGCGTTCTAGCCTCTGGACGTTTTTTTGCAGGCTGTCTAGGTGTAGATTTTCCACTAGACGAACAACCTGAGCTAATAAGAGGAATACTACCACCACCACCACCAGCACTACTATTACTACTACTACCACCACTATTACTGACAGCTGGAGTGTGAATACAAAAACCATTCACTGGAGCAGACACTAATAATCCAAGGTATGGATGTGAACAAAGATAGGGATTATCCTTTGTTAGATTACGCTGACTTTGTTGAATTGAACAAGGTTGATGGAGGGACGGAGATGAACAAGGCAATGTAGTAAATGGTAGACAGCTTTGCAGCTGTTGTTGTTGTTGCACTATCTGTTGATCAGAGCGGAGATGATGAGCAAACGATTGATCAGGATCAGTATGTATTGACTGAGATGTAAGCGAATTAGAAGTATGCGATGATAAGTCATTTGAAACAGATACATTAGCAGTCACAACAGTCGATTGAATAGACCTTGGCAAAGAATTAATATTATCCTGCATAGAAACAGCATAAAATGCACTTGAACTGTTATTTGAACACGATATACTGACAGAAGTGTTTGAAGCTAAAGGAGATGAAATATTTCCACCAGTGATCATCAATGTAGAATCTGATGGTCTACGAATCTGTGGATGAATTTGTGAAGCACGAGAATTACTTGGTGATGCTTCAGATATAAGAAGAGGAGGACTTGAAGAAGGATGATAGTTATACGAGACTTTAGCTGGAGATGATGGAAAAGAACTAGGCGAATCTGGTGGAGGCCGTTTCAAACTATATCGTTCACATTTAAGAGATAATACTTCACTATCTTTAGAGCAGACAGTTGATCCTGAATCAGACAGAGTAGGTAAACCAGTAGTAGTAGTACAACAATTAGTAGAATTTATTGTTGAATTGAGTTTAGATGTTGGAAATGAACAGGTAAATCCATTTGATGAACGTCGAATAGGTGAATGTCTAGAATCATTGACAGGTGAAAAAGTATTATTGTTCGATGACTCACGTAGTTGATCCAACTTATGAGATTTACGATAGGTGTATGACATATACGAATTTGGCTAATATATTAATATAAGATCAAAATGGAAGAAATAATGAGTTGAATGTACATAAATCTAAAGGATAATATCATTTTTAAATTAGTCTATTTTCATTTCAAATCATAAAATTTACTCAAGTTGATTATAGAAAAGAGATAATTCAGAGAAAATTTTCTTTTTCGACGATATCATTTTCTAAAGCTGTACAATCATATTTATATGTATATCATAAACATATAAACAGTCTATTATAAAACAATAGGATATAATTACATCATTAACCTAGTGCGAGTTGGTCATGTTTAAGATAGGGCAAAGAGGCATCTCAGGCTTCAGATAAGACAAGAAAGTCGCCGATAAGGAAAGACATTCTTCTCTGCAAAACTGTAGACCAGCTTTTCTAGTCAACAACTCATTCCGGAGTGCGTTAAGGACAAGTTGCCACCTTGGGGCACCTCGATGTGTGTCTACAATTTTACTTGCTCCTGTGGAGCTAGTTATATAGGCCGCACAACGCACACTTTCCAAACGTATCTCGGAGCACTATCCTGCATGGTTATCGAGGGGAGAATGTAAATCAATTAACACTTCAATTCTTGAACATTTGGTCAATTCTGGACATAAAGCTCTTTCAGTGTCTTCTATCGTGTCAAATGGAATAGTACAAAAAGGGATCGCCTTCGACAGTTGTGCACAGTGGAGGCACTGGAAATCTATCAATTCAAGCCTGATCTCTGTGTGCAAAAGAAGTATGTTCAATCTCTCATCTTACCATGGTCTTAACACTTTCACAGATCTTTATCGATTTCATCATAATTAATTAGTTGATTATTATCACCTTCATTATCACCCTTGTCTCATTCTTCACCCCTTCTTTACATCTATCTAATCTATCAAGTGGACACTCAATATTTGCGCTTCTTATCTACCAAGAATTTTCACTTCGTCAAACTCCTCGCCTTCCTTGATATTTCTACTGTCTTAGTTTATTATGCAACTACTTTGCATTCTTGATTCCGGGTTGTTTTTAGCACTAGGTTAATGACGTAATTATATCCTATTGTTTTATAATAGACTGTTTATATGTTTGTGATATACATATAAATACGATTGTACAGCCTTAGAAAATGATATCGTCGAAAAAGAAAATTTTCTTCGCTGAATTATCTCTTCTCCATGACTCAATGGTCATGTTTCGTAGTCTCAAGTTGATTTACTAAAGTAATTTTAACATTGTAGCATACTGAAATAAAACTCTCTTTACAAATCCATTTTTATTCCAATTAATATCTCACAAATCTACTCGACATATGCAACATATATCACAATACTGTATGCAATAGAATGGATGACTATGAAGCATACTTATCGCTTGATAAAACTTTATTATATATTACTGTCTTAGTTCTCATGAATACCAATTCATCAAAACAAATAAATTTCCGTGATAAATACTACTTCTAAATTAAAAATCCACATTCATCTCAAAAATACCTTACTGTATAGTGCTCATTAGTGACTTGCTTCTAGGATGGATATCACCAGGTTCTAATGAGAAGCTGTGACCTGTAGGGTCAACAGAAGACTTTAGGTGATAGTAGCGCTATATCGTGAATTGACAGAAGTTAAAAATCGTGAATGGCTGAACGGTTAACGTGTTCGGCGTGAACCTGAAGGTCCTGAGTTCGATCTCTACCCGGGTGATGGGTGCGTACAGTCGAGGAGTCCTATACTAGGACGGAACAGCTGTCCAGTGTGCTCTTCTATTTTCAATGTTCCCCAAATGATGTCAGTCCATAATGAATACTACTTCTAAATTAAAAAAATCCCTATTCATCTCAAAAATAAATAAATTCCCCTAAGAAAAATGAAGAGAGCCAATCCATAACAAGCAACTTACTCGTCAAGTTTAAAATACGTTGCTGTGGAAACTAGTCTTAGCATATCATGCAACACACTGTAAGTGATTAAAATTAATTTAGTGCAACTGGTTTGATAAGTGTTGAACAAGCAAATCACGACTATATTCTGAAACTAAACATGAATTAACACCAAGTATCCCCCCCCCCCTTTATAACCATTAGACGTTTCATCAAAAGGTCCGAACAACACAGATGTACACAACACTTGTCACATAAAAGTGCATCGAATTAACCATGTACAGTTCATTGCAGGTAAACTCAATATCCATCCATCCAGATCAACGTAGGACCAGACATCACTTCTTAACGGTACGAATTACCACACCTCATATCACTATATCAAGTAAAAAGCCAGTGAAGTGAGAGATGAAGAGAAGAAAATTCCGTCAGAAGAAATATAAAGTACTAAAAGAGAGAAAGGAGGAATGAGAAAATGGTGAGATTCGGTATAGCCTTAAGAGGAGGATAATATGTGTATACATCTGCTCTACTGACATCGATTCTCAGCCATATCACCTAGAGTCTCCAACCACTGGTTCTTCTTGTCCTAGAGACCCCAACCACCTAGTCTGCATTGCCCCACATGGCTCAAACCAACAGTGAAAAACTTTATACATTGATGCCATGTTTTAGTGTGGGCGCCGCGAGCCTTTTTCCAGCCTAGACCTACTTCGACCAACAGTGTGTGACGAGGCAGATGGCGACTAGGCATACGTAATATGTGTCCCAACCATTTTGGTCGGTGAGGGTTTTACAACAACCGTGTCAGCTGGTTTACCTCTTCTCCCTATAAGTCTACACCTGAGGCTGACTTGTGCGTTACTCATATGGTGACACCACGAAACACCGCATATACTACGAAGGCGACGGTGGTCAAAGACATGAAGCCAGCCTTTTCATGTCTTCCACCTTCAACGGCTATGTTTCACAGCCATAAAGTAGAACAGAGCAGACTACTGTGCAGTAAACTCAATGTACGGGATTAGCGTTACTATTTGGTTGCTTAAACCTTAAACACGTAAGATGGAGTTCGAATGGATGAACGTGAATACAGACTAGGGTTTAACGATAATAATTTGTTTGCCAAGTGTTTTCACCTTTCGTTTGAGGATGTATGCAGGACACTGTGGATTATCAGCATTTTCAATTATGTATACTTACGAGTCGATTAATCAGTTTCTATGTCGAATGGTTCATTGAATGAAAAGATGAAGTCATCACAATGGGAGTTTAATATGTCACCTGACTTAATTTTGGTGTGATAAATAGAATATTACAAACATATCGCCTGATTACATAACATGTGTGTGTTACTAGTCAGTAGAATACATTGATTTTTGTCTCTTATGTTTAGTGAATACATAAAAATCACGCATAAACCTTAAGAAATAAAATGTTTCAATGCATGAAATACATGAGTTTGCCAGTTTTATTTCATCGAGTAAACAGGTAATAATTCACCAGGTTATATTGATCTCATTGACTAGCAGTGGAATCCAGGACGCGAGTTTCGTCCTATTTGGGACTCGTCAGCTGGATGTACCTGTACCTCAGTGAGTGATGTTGTTCCCCTTGAGACTTGAACCCGGGGTCCATTGGTTCAAACGCCAAAGCGTTATCCACTAAGCCAGTGGGACATGAGAGATACTTTTTGCGAAATGAGTACTAGATATGGTATGGTACTCATAATTTCCCGTTGCTACACAGTGCCGAATCGTTTGACCTAAAATGATGGCCACCAACAGACTATAATATAATGAATATTCAGGAAGTATCGAGGCATCCGCATAGGTAGTCGATCCGCCGGCAGAGGTCAAGCAATTCGAAGTCATACAGTAGCAAGAAATTACAGTTCACCAAGTCGTCAATGGATTAGTAAACTGGGCATGAGAAAAACAATACCCGAATAAACAGTCACAATTTAGATGCAAGAGATCAATCACTAAGGGTTTTGTCTCTTTCCTAACTCTTCTATCTCTAGGATGCGCTTACTTCTTCAATATCACATTTGGTTCTCAACTGATTGAACAATAAGTGTGATTATATAACACAAACGAGAAGTTGGTTCATTAATTCACCAACTGATCATATACATTTTTGATAAGAAGAGGCAAGTATGATAAAATGGCAATGAGGTGACACTGTAAGCAAGTTATGAAGCAAAATGATGGGAAATATCTATACTGAGAGTGTAATATGATAGCTGTTACACAAGAGGCAAGATAAGAAGCTGATTTATTCGTGTGAACTACATCACTTAACAAACTCTTTTACCGCAGACTTTTACTGTCATATGGAAGACAGTTAAGAAGTTGGCAATATCCAACACAATAATTGGTAGATTCAAACACTATTACTAAGTTAATGATGGATAGTGGCTAGCAATGAAATCCAGGACGCGCGTTTCGTCTTATTTAGGAGTCCTCAACTCGACATACTTGCCTCACAGTGAGTGACATGATTCTAAGTAAGACTTGAAACCACGAGGAATGGCTTCAAACGCCATGGATAGCTACTTCTTGTGCGACGGGTATAGTTCTTATGCTATTGCCTGTATTATCCCATCGTCTACTCCAGTAATCTTAATCGATGACTACGGTTGGACTGTACAAAAATATAATAACTCTTTTATAGACCTTTTACATCACAGACTGAATGAGAATGACACTAGAATTGATTGAAAAAGATTTTATTAAAACAATCACTTACATGCGAGTTGACTCGATTCAAGTTAGTAGATGTTATTGTTATCTCAGGAATTTGAAGGGCATCTTTAATAACTGGTACCATATCGACTAGTTCACGATCTGATGCACTTAATGTAAGCTTGGACATAGATTCACTGGCAGGATTTAAATTTTCTACATTAGGCCATAGGATTATTAATGAAAATAAAGGAAGAAAAATAACATCAAGGTGAAAAAATATTTAATAATTTAAACAAATAAAATGAAGCCTAAAAAAATATTGGAAACTTGAGCTACATAAATGTTACATTTGCAAGTTTAAGTAAAAGATAATCAACAGAGAAAGAACAGTATCATATCAAGTTTATACTTTCTTTGTACGTGTCTATGTCTTTAATATGGCGCAAAAATATTCGAAATGACGAAAAGCATATCAGTCTATACTTTAGAGGAATTGAAAGACAGACTATAAAAATGTATAGAAGTAGCTGGAGAACCAATAGGTGGTCGTCTACAATGGATTAACGGTAAATGACTTTCTAGTAAAGTAGTTAGATTATAACAATGACACTGAGTGTATCAAGCGATTAGGTAACAAACGACGGACGGTATATTATCACAGTTCCTCCTATAATGAAATAAAGGGAAATTAGGCCCCCATAGATAATTACACACACACACACACACACACACACACACACACACACACACACATACAGAATATAATTTAGACTGGGAACAAAGACTGTAATTAAATATCTTATGTTTATATCTGTCCGTTTAAAAGACATAACAAAGAGACCCAAGAAAAGTCAACAGATTATTTTTAAAGGAAGCCGTCAAGAATGCATGAATATGAAAATCACTAATAATTTCTTTAAAAAGAGCTTGGTTCAATGTTGTTTTCATTCTGTATAGTTAGTTGACTAGATCCATATATCCATAGGACTGACTAACATTTAGATAATGGACAGTTTCAGATATGTACACTAATTGACTGATACTAGAAAAGATGATCACATTCGTAAACCATTAATTCTATGGGACAGTGCAAAAAACTACAAGACGTGAAAGATAACGGTTAGTTCGACTATTTAAGCGTCAGATGTCAAGGAGTGAATATATCGGCACCAATGTGACCGATTGTCAACTCTATCACACCAAGACTCCTCAATCATTGATTCCTTACGTCTCAAAAATCCCAGGTAGATGGCCGACATCTACTCATATGACTCAGACCAACAGTAAGAGACATAATGGATTGCTGCCACGTCTTGGTCTGGCCACCCTGAACCCTCTGTCAACCTAATACAACTCCCTCTACCACGGCACATCCAGGTAGGTGGTGGATCGACATACGCAACATATGTGCAGAGCATCTCAGCCAGTGAAGGCTCATAACCTCATCAGTCGACTTCCTCGTCTTGACCAATAACCTTCGCCTCATCCCAACATTGCTCACATGGTGATTCCACCAAACGCCACCAATGCTACGAAAACACCCTGTAATCGCAGCATATCTTTTACTTCTAACGGCGATGTCTTACAGTGGTATAACACAACAGAACGAACTACAGCGTGGTATACTCGTACTTTGATAGATAGTCGGATATCTGTGTCCAGGCGGTGCCACAGATGACGGAAGTTGGCAGATGCCAAACGGGCCTTCTGTATCCGATGTTAGATTTCGTCAGCAACCAGACAGTTTAGAAGGTTGATGCAACTCGGCAAGTAAGTGAAGTGGTTGTCGCCTTCCACCACTTTACTCTCTCTCCTTAAAGTGTGAATATTTGTAGGGTAATCCTGAAGCATCATGTTACATATGGCAGGTGCTAAAAGTATGCCAAAAATCGATATTTCTGTTGAAAACTATGTAACAAGAACACATAAGAGAACACAGAACTAAAGAGTCGAAGATTAGAACAAAATAAAACCATATTCAACGTCCTGAATGCTTGTGTGATTCAAAATCAAACAGTCGAAGCAGGAGATAAGCGAATTTCTTTTCAGGAAGTAGTTGTATCGTAAAGAATTTCTTAGAGAAATTGATGTAATTAATCACCTTATTTGCTGCATACACAACGTTATTTATCAGTATGATATGGCGAAATAAGTATAATAGACAACCCGATGAAAGATAATTTACTACTCACCACTTCTATACTGCTGGAGTTCTTCTATTGAAAAAGGCCCAAATACGTCCACAGCTTCATCAGGTGCTGTAAGGCATAAAAATTGAATATCAAATTCCATGTTGATGTCAATACATATAAAGCTGTTGGGTGTTGCTACTTAGCAAATGTATACAGGGTAACAACACAGTATACAAAAAAGAATCACGACAGACATCTATGCATATAATTAGTCAAAAACAATATTCAACCTTCGTTCGATTTCATTAGCACAAACTCTCAGAGATGCTTGATTCACTAAGAATTAGCGTCTACATTTCTTTTTTGCCTCATATGAAAAATTTGCTTTTTTATTGCTTCAAACGACATCTAACTTCATTGGTTGTCCTATCATCTTAAATATGCTAATTTCTTTATATGCTTTAAAGAACACTTCTACTGAATATTCAATTCAAAGTTATCCTATTCACCATTTTAGCTCAGTGAGTTGTGGAGAAAGTGATGACTTGTCCAATAGCACAATTTTATCACGCCTTTATAAGCTAGATATTACCAAACTTTATAGGAAGAAAGACCAATGTAGAATATTGCACAGAAGTGCACCACTTCAAGTTGACAAAACAGCAGAGAAATAGATATTTAGTTGAAAATGATATTGAGTAGAGAATTCACGAATGAAGCCCAGTAAAAATTTCAAAGACGAACAGCACGTGTACATTTGTGCAACAGCAACCTATTTCGAGGTCATATCTACCATTGAAAGTATTTCACCATTGATTTCTATAATCTCCAACATTGCTGTCCAACATTTCTTTACACATCCAGGACCAACAGTCAGAGAGAGATTGAACATGCCAGTGAAAAAAAGACACTACAAAAATTTGTACACTATGTAAAGAATATGTAATCCTGATCAAGATGATTCCTGAAACTGCATACCACCATCAAGTACAACTGGACACTACATGGTAAACAACGATGGAGTTGGCGAGTGTTAAGTAGTATCAATCAAAGCCTATGGATCACATTTAAATAGAATGTGGTCATTAAGCTAGTTGACACAGCACTGCAATACACTGTGATTTTTGTATGTAAACAACATAGAAGCAAAGTTTCCACCTTCATATTGTACATAAATTATGACCAAAAATAAATTTTAGTATCGTTTGAGGGTTGCAGGTGTTCTGCCAATCGACTGAAACAGCTAGATATCTGAATACTGGTGGTTGTCGATATTCTTCTGTGACATGACGTTTGACATTGCTTAATAACCAACTTTACTTACATATCAAATGAAATGTCAGTTGATAATTTAAAATCCGAAAGTAGATGATACGATTAAAAAAGGGAACGTGAAACACATGTAACAGAATTCAAGATGGTGGCTATAGTTAAGACTAGATTAGAAATATTTCGACAGACCTTTACATTTACTAAGTAAGCCAGAAGTACTGGCATTTTGTAGCACAATAAGGTTATACGCAGGAAAAACTATGATGAGATTAACATGACGTTTGTCAGATCATATATCCATATACATTCACATCACTTTTTAAAGATACTTAGCAGCAAATAAATTTTTGAAAAACCCACTAACCGTTAGCAGCAATGCCATTAGAATCTGCTGTAATCATCGGCGGGATAATAGTATATCCAGCTTGAGCCAATGCTTTCAATACCACAACAAGAGCTACAGAACTAGCTCTAAATCGTATATGCTGAGGCCGGACACAGAGCTCATGGTCACATGTATGTACCATTATATTAGTGTCTGTACTAGACATGGGCAAACCATGATAAAGCATACCCACAATTGTATCCAGTCTCCAAACCTGATAATCCAAACACAAGGAGAGAGGAAAAGATCTTTAAAAATCAAGTTAATAGAATGGAAGGTTTTATATATTGGAAGCCCATTTCTTTGGATACAAAAGCAATATGATAACCCATCTTAATGAGAAATCCTAGTTGGTATCACCATGGAGCTTGGTATTATTGAGCTACGCTTCCCCTTGCCATATCTCACCTTACTACAAAGTAAGATACAAGGTAACAAGATGAAAGACAAGACAAATGGAAGTAATGTAATTAAAAGTCGTCTAAAGTTATAAGAAGTCAAAGGAAGCAACATACTGTTCACAGTGGACAGCGCTCCGCCTCGTCGCTTATTGGAGTTGGTGTTCCCTAAGCAGCAATCCTTTCACCTTGTATTTCCCTTCCTTTATGTATGACAACATATTCAGCTAGTATCAATTTGGTCAAATATTCTGATGACCTGACAGTTCCCACACCTGTCTCATCTTCAACAGATTGTTTCCAACCGAATGATTACCTATCTACTGTTACACGATTGTCCTCCATGAATGGTCTTTTGCTTCTCTCCCAACCTCTCCTCATCCTCTCATATCTCACTAATTTTCGAGTGAATCTGTCACCTAACCTTGTGTATTAGGAAGCTGAGGGTATGTGGTATGACTCAACTTCTCCTCTCATGTTTTATGAACTCATGCATCTTGTCTATTCTCCTTTATTGTTTTCTGGGTTGTTGAGAAGAGACTATGCTGTATTGTGTAGAACGCTGAAGAGTTTCAGCAGAACTAGTGGTGTACGTGTAAACTTTCTGATTGAAATTGTTGTAGACAAACATTTTAAGTGATATTTTATTAGATGACTAGGATCCTCTTCACTGGAAGCTTTCCACGTGTTGGTCATCAGAGAAGACGAGGAGCAAATGGATCTAAGGCTTTATGCAGGTACTACTAAATATGGAAACCCTACAATTCGTGATTCAGGTCGTATTCTGTGCGGGGAAGGGAGTTTGCTGTTATTTATATATTGTAAGTATGATAGTTAGTGTGATGATTTATCTCTCTGCCTTTTGAAAAGATTTAGATGGAGCAAATACTTTCATTTTTCATAGATATAATTTTTACTTCATTTCCTTCTGTTCAATTGATGCTATATGAAATATTGAAAACCCTGTACGCTATTCTTAATTATCTTCCTCAATAAACCTTTTATTATTATTATTATTATTATTATTAAGTAAGAATAGATGGATTAACGAAATGTCATGTAATCAGAATACGATGAAGATAAGGTATGGATGCATCGCCATCAGCATGATTGACTTTGAATTATCATATCACACGTAGAGTCTTCAACCACTGATTTCCGTCGTCACATAAACCTTATCGAAGAAGTTTACACATTTGCTTACACAGCTTATACCAATCTTTGAAAACTATGTGAACGGATGCCATGTATCAGTCTAGCTACCACCCTAACCTTTTTCTGACCCAAACATACTTCAGATAAAATCCCACCTTCGGATAGACGGCAACTAGGGACATCTAATAAACACGTCCCAAATATCTAGCTTGATGATCAAAAACAGAATCAACTGACTAAGCTCTTTTACTTAAGACTGTATACTGTCTAACTTCCATTTTTTTTTATGCAATGGTTCCATAACATGTAAACAGTGCTAAGAAAGTAGCAGTGGTCTGAACATTTGGGGTCCACGGGACAAGAGGAACCAGTGGTTGGAGACCCTAGGTGATATGACTCAGAACCGAAGTCAGTGGCGCAGATGTATACACACAATATCCTCATCTTAACAACGCTATACCGAATCTCACTATTTTGTCACTCCTCTTTCCTTTCTTCTCATACTTTATATTTCTTTTGACTGCATTCACTTATCTTCATCCTTCACCTCACTACCTTTTTACTTGATGTGCTGATATGAGGTGTGGCAACTCGGACCGTTACGCAGTAATGCCTGGTCCTATGTTGATAATGATGATGATGATGATGGTCTGAACATTTTATCTACTTCTTTATGAGTGATAATTTATTGGAGATATGAAAAACAAACTTATATTCCTAACCTAATGAACTTGACTGAAATAATTAGAAACTGTGCGATAGTTGATTACTTCATGATAAAAGGTAATTTACATCCTTTAACAGTATATATTTCTGATTACAAAGGATTTATAAGATTTAGGTGCATAGTAAAATATAGAAATTTTGTCACAGCAAGCAGAAGTGAAGTCTAGTGCAGATTGGTAAGACCATATTGTCTGTTGTTTGACCTTCATCTTATCTTTGACTGACTGATGAATGGGTCATACTTATGTTACCTAGATCATATATTCTGTAATATAAAAAAAGGTCGATTTCACAGACATTTATTTGCATACATCTAACAATCAGTTGTTAATCAATCGGTTTTCTCTTCTGATATCCATTCCAGTTGGGGTATTGGAGAAGCATACGATTTGAGTGCAGTGTGTAAGCGAATATATCACGAATAATGGAACTTTGGGTCAACTGATAGGTCACGAGGCCAAACCCCGCTTCACTTATCACGGTAACCCTCACACAATAAACTGTCTCATTGCCTACTGCATGAATAAGCATAAGGTGGTTGAGTGGATTTCGACTGTAAGCGAATACATATTTACCTGCTTTCGTCAAGATACTAACCCACTAGTTCTGCCAGTAAATTGCATATACAACAAACTTTATCTTTAGACTTCTAAAGTTTTACACCGCCAAAGTTAGGAAGTGAATTTCAGTATATCACAGTGAAATTTTTCCAGTACTTTTGAATGGAGTTGTATATGCTCCTGAAGTGCTCTGATATGGCAGAGGGTAGATGAAATCCGGTCTCACACGATCACGGTTTGATAGCCCCCGTTAGAGAAAATCTAACTACTGCCTTAATACGGTAGGGGTATTTCCACAAAAGTGAGAGGGTGAACAACAATGACTGATGGGTATCGTTGGAGGTTCACCTCAAGGAGTTCAAAAACCCTGATTCCAAACCCAAGATGTACATAGACTATAGAATCTGGAATGAGCCAATGGTATGCGAACCTACTTTGGCCATTAACAACCACAGGAACGCAGCTCCTGAAGTTGTTTTGCTGCCTTGTGGATTAGATTTCAAGTCACAGGTCAGGGAAGTGAATCTCTGAAACGACTACTTGCTTTGGTTCGAAAATCCGGGAAGTGTCTCATCCTTTACATGAATCATGGAAAAATAGAAACTGCACGTGGCTGTTGGATGGTATCGTCATTATGCAGTCGCACATGCCTATTGGACTGGGCAAGTATAAACTATTGGTTCCATAAAACACTTACTGAAATAATGAAGTAACTTTATTGGATCACTGAATTCTGGAAGGTAAACAGATGAAGTGTTCAACACTGGCAGTAACATGAAGGCGTCTTTATTTAAGTGATTAATCCTAATAGAGTATTTTAGCTTCTTTTTACAGATAAAAGGATTCCGCTTACAACATGAATGATATTAGTATTTACAAACTCAAGCTTTGAAGAGAACGGTAGGAATCAATTGTTAAACAAAGCAAAATTAACAACACAGTTAAGTATCTATGCGTAAAAATGTATTGGCGAGTAACAAACTGAAAAAATTCTATCAACAACAGTTGTTTACTTTTTTAAAAACAACATGTGACACTTACCTTATCTGAACCTTTACCACCATCAATACGGCGCATACGTCCTTTGGCATCACCACGACTTATAACACAAGAATCAGGATCTTTTAGGGTATCTTCACTTCCAAGCCAGCACTTAAGAAACCAAAATACAGAATCGCTCGGCAACTCTTTGTACAACTTTTTGAGTAAATTTGAAACAGCATCCGTTTCTGTATTTGCGTTCATCTCCTTGAGAAAAATATAAAGTCAATAAAGTAAACAATTTCAGGTTTGAAACATTCTACTGGTAACTTACGGAGAATCAAGAATAAAAAGAAACCAAACTAAGGATGATAACTGTTAGTATAGACTGAATAAACTATCTCTACATTAAAGTGTAGTAAGAAAAAATTTGGCGTTACTTTTACGTATAGAAATTACGGCGATTGTATGAGGATTCTTTAGCATACCAACCTTTATAATTGCTTTCTGTAGGAGTCAAGATTCAAGATAAGGAAGCCGATTGATGATGATGTGAACCTTCATCACTCGAGGTGGCTTGGACATATGTTGCGCATGCCAATCCCCCGCTCACCTCAACGTGTTATGCTCGGGAAAGATGGATTGGGTTGGAAGAGGGTTCAATATGGCCAGACCAAGATGTGGCACTAATCCATGAAGTCCCTAACTGCTGATGTAAACTACCTGGCTGGGGTCCCCGAAACAAGGGGTCATTGGCTGATATGGCTGAAAATCAGTTGCATTGGCGCAGATGTATCCTCTCCTTAACGTCTTCTAAGGCTTGAATATTCGCACTAGCCTCTATCTTCAAATTGCTTATTCTCTAACACAACTTTGTTCCCTTTGATATCACTCTATCCCAACCCACCTTTTCTTTGTATACCACTGTGAAGTGTGGCAAGTTGAACTGATGCACTTTGTATGAAGTTCTACGTTGATTGTCTGTCTTTCAAACTCTTCCATTGTTTACCTGCTCCAAAATACAACAACTGTTGGAGCAGGATTAGGTTTCAGGAGCTGCAAGGTGCCAAAACAGTTGTTGGATCAAAATAGCACAAATTCTCAACTAGTGTATGCGATATAAGAAATCAGTTGTTGGAAAATATGTGACATCCGGTCCGATGATCAGGCCGGAAACCTGGTGGTCGCTGGTCCGCATCCGGCCGCGGTCCAAATTTCATTTCACCTTCAATCATCAGCCAGTATAAATACTACTCTGCCAAACTACGGCTATCTTAGATAATCGAAATGATAATCAGTACATAGACTAATCATAGTGGCATACGCATATCCGCTGTTAATAAGCAAATCTTTTCTTCAGCAACTTTTTCGTACGATTTTGATGTTTTCTCTCTGCTTTGCTATTATATGGCAACTTAAATCAGTTTATCAGCATATCTAGTTTGAGGTCCTATATGCTCCGTGCAAATTTTTTGTCTTCACCCATTTGGAATGCAATGTGTGCACAGTTGTGGATGTCAAGAGATGCATTACACAAGACAAAATAGCCATGTTATAGAGCTTAAAGGGAGAAGGATCAACTCAAAGAAAAAAACGAACAATTAAACAAAGTAACTAAAAGCTACTGAAAAAAATGAATCATAAAGGAACCAGCATGAGTTTTCAAACTTCTAGTTCTCAGATATTTCTGACGGTATCCAGCGGTTAAGTCATTATGCCATATTAAATAGGTTAAGATGCACTAGTTAGCATTATCTCACCCTTATCCCAGAAACAATCACCATTATCTGTGACGGCCAGTCTAACAAGTGAAAAGCATTACTTAATGCGAAAACCCATGAAAGAGTATGAACAAAATTCGTCTGAATCACCGAATTCAGTACCGCAAGATGACTTTACTCGGAATGCGTTTCTAATTTAGGCCAGTATACTCAGATCTTGGAGTTACACACGCACAAGTACATACATACACTACATTCATACCGAATTAAAAAAATAGTGGTTTGAAACAAGGCTTAGTGGCCAGAGGAAAACATCTCACAGTCCATGAAGTCCTTGACCACTAGTCTGAGTCATATAGAGGAGTGTAGGCTGTCTGGCAGGGGTCCTCGAAACGTAGTAATCAAGGGTTGGAGGCTTTGTGACAGCTCAAAATCGGTTACAATGGCGCAGAGATATTCACTCCTTGATGTCTTCTAAATTTTGAGCACTTACTAACCTAGATTTTCAAGGTGACAACTTGGACCGATGCAGTTCTCTGCTAGGTTCTACTTTGATTTTGTCTATCTGTCTGGGTATGCTAAACACAAAGACTATTTTATACACGGCAAATTTTCTCGCTCTTAAGTATTTAGAAACCTTGGCTATCTTTTAGAAGACAATAGTTGGAAAAAGCCGAAATAAGCTTATTTCTATGCAGTTTTTATCGGTCAATAACCTACTCCGGTTGATTTAATTTAACAACGCAATTAGAATATGAACTATGAAAAATCTCAGATCAAACTTCCAAGCGAAACGCTGGAATTAATTCGTTTCAAACACGCCATGATTCTGTGGCAATTACGAACCATATCTGATGTAGTTAGATATGGTTGATGACGAGATTGAAGAAAAATGGGGACACTGAACAACTTTGTGGAAAAGCATTGCTAATCTCCCTCTCAAAATCTAATTAAACAGGGATTCATCTCACCACAGAAGAATCTTTAGTAAATCTAGAGTATGCAGATGATATAGACCTGTTAAGCGAACATGCGGACAAGATGCAGTCTTCCGGAGACACTGAGTGGCAATTTGAAAATGTTTGGGATGTGTTTCTCACCACGCAAATGAAAACTGCTGCCTCAGCAATAGTCTTGAATGGTGCCTTGCTTAGTAATAGCGAGTGAATTGGTTGAGCGCATGGGTCACTTCAATTATGTGGAAAGTTCCACTAGCCCTAGTGGGTTAGTGACCGACGGAATCTCTGCACCGACATAAATGGCTCTTTCGGTATTCGTTAGCTTACACCATTTATGACACCGTTGTGATATTCGATTGCCCATTAAGGGTCGAGTGCACTGCTTTGTAGCTGCTCCGTCCAACTATATGACCTTGAAACATGGCCATTAAAGGTACAGGATATGATGAGATTTTAGGTGTCTGATCATCATTGTCTTTGTCGCACAGGCTGTGTCTGTCATCACGTCAGTAATGTAGAAGTCAGGTTTACATTTGTGCGAAGGGGAATGTCCGTTGGTGAGGTTATAGACCTTTATCAATTCAGGTGACTGAGACATGTGTTACACATGTGTAGTCACCGTTTGGCCCATTGCACACTACTAGCTGAAGTGGGTTCAGGCTGCGAAAAGGTTGGAGTTGGTCAAACTAAAGCGTGTCATCATTCTCTGAACTCTTTGAATGTTTGTCTGGACCGATTCGCCTGTTTTGTCTAGTACCCTTCGCCTAATGCTCCACCTAAAAACTTCCTTTATGTCCGTCCCTATTACCAGTACCATTTTCAAAAGATGAGTTACAGTTTAGAAAATAAAACGTGGTGCGTCTGTTCTTTTGATTCAACTGGCTCATTTCACAAGTTAGTGACAAATAACAGAGATGTATGATAACAATACGCAGTTTTGACTACTGAATATACAAATATGATCAAACTAAAGGTAAATCTTCAAGTCCTAAAAGCCAATAGTATGTTATTTCTAGCATCCCACATTCTCTGAGTAGTTGGAACAATTACGTGATCTGAGTTTTGTAGTCGAATTCTCACACCACACATCACTTGTTTCAACAATGTGGGACAAAGTGAGTAACTATCAAGTATGCATTTGATGCAAGTAAGGAATACACCATAGTACTGATAATTTTCTACTACGGAAAGTCAAAACATTCATTCATCTATTCACCGTGTTTTGCCAACATTCTTTTTGGGATGTTTGAATCTCTGATGAGTCGAAGTTTAATCAGTTTCCGTTTATGAAGTATTTTCATCCACTGGTTTGATGAACATCCTCCTTCAGTTGACTTTCTATACTTGTGCCGTCGTAAGTAGTTCAAAATGCACTTAGCCACCAAGTTCACATTCTTGCAGTAGGTAATGGGCCACACTCATTGTGTGAGGGTGAATGATATTATCTGGTTGCCTGCGCCTCGGTAGGTGCCGCCAAGATCGAACCCGTGATCCAAAGGGTTGGAAGTCAACTGCCTTGACCAATGACCTACAGCTTCATATCTCTATATGCTGCAGCGAATCAAAGACAGACAAACAAACAAAAATCAACGTAGAACCTCTCACACAAGTGTATCCCCTCAAGTTGTCACACTTCACAGTAGCATGAAAAAAACAAAGTAGACAAAGGTGTATGGGAGGACAAGGAATTTGAAAATGAACGTGAATGAGAATGTTCAACTTTAGACAACGGCAAAGCGTGAACAAATCTCTGTTGTGACAGATTTCCAGCCGTCACGATGGGCTTGCAACCGTCGACTCCTATCAACTCGGGGACCCAAGCCAGGTATGTCTGCACCTCCACCTACAGGATTCAGATCCACAATCAGACTTCATGGACTAGCTCCAAGTCTTGGTCTGCCCACCCTGAATCCTCTTCCAACTGAGTCCAACTTCCCATAGCACAGGACGTCGAGGTAGTAGGTGGACTGGCATGCACAATACACGTCTAAGTCATCTCAGTCACCGTAGGTTCACAACCCCATCAATTGACTTGGTTTTCTTGCCTAGTACCTATCACCTGACCTCAACATTGCTGACATGGTAATTCCACCAAACGAAGACACTGACGATCAAAACCCCGCAACCGTTCCACGTTTTCTACTTTCGACGGCCATATCTCGCAGCCGTACAACAGGGTAGGGTGGACTGCAGCGCAGTATTCTCTTCCTATAATAGGTATTCAGATCTCTAGCTAGAGACGACACAAGTTGGAAAGTGCTAATTGGGCCTTCTGTACCCGAGCTCAGATTTAGTCAGCAACTATCCCGTTCGGCTTGATGCAACTCCCCAAATAAGTGAGATAGTTGAAACATTCCATCACTTGATTTCCTATCATTAAACTGGGAGTACTTTCAGCCGACTAGTCCTGGAGCATCATTTGACATTTGATAAGTGCAAGAGAAACGCATAACAAACATGCACAGATTTCTCATCAGGGCGTTCATAAGACCCTGCATTTTATCAGTGTCTTCACTTAGTAGGACAATATTGTCTGCATACTCCAAGTCAATCAGATGACCTCTGGGGAGTAGGTCAACACCTATGAAATGAGAATTACACAAGGTTATATGCATTAGTACATCCATGACCATCACGGTGGATATCGCTACCGGACACCACTAGTTGTTCAAATGACAACTCTCCATAAACCCTGACACAACTGAGTGAGTTCGAGTAGAAGGCTTTGACTAGTGTTACATACTTGCTCTGTACTCCTTTCAGTCAGATGCTGCCACAACACCTCACGTCGACAGAGTCAAATATTGGCTTCAAGTGCACAGATATGGCAAGTGTCGGTTGCCAGTAGGTATTTTTGTGTTCCAGAACCTGTCGGTGGGTGAAAAGATGATTAATGTACCCTCATCCAGGTCCCAGGATGTGAATTTAAACTAGAAAACAAACTGCATCTATACAAACGCACAAAGTTTGCCAAATAAACTGAATAAACTACGGGAACTAAATAAGGACACTTATGTTCATCTTACGAATGTTACTGAGACATGGGTTTCTTCTGGAATATCAGACCAGATGGCTGTTACCAACACAACAGTGTTTGTCAATGATAGGGTAGTTTTATATCCTTATAGTGACTTGATAGAGACTGAATTACGTATACGCTTGTACAAATACCTTCAGATTCTACCATCAATGGTCACTCAGTTTCTCCGTAAATAGAAAAGGCGGTAGTAGAACAGAAAGTGTATTTACAACGTCAACGGCAATGTCAGCAATATATGCAAATTACAAGGTTTATATTTATTACAATGGCCTTGACTATTTCCAGGCCTTTCTAGATTTAAATCCTATTGATTTTTTCTCTTTTCAACCAACCTGATGCTTGTACGTCGATTCACGTGTCTTTCCCCGAAACTTCGAAGCAAAGCGATAGGTTGAAAAGCGCCTGGCGTATTTGGCTTCTTATGAAGATTTTGTCAATCTTTCTGTACACTATAACAGGTAGGGTGTGTGTGTGTAGTAACTCTTCTTTTATAGCTCACCTAATCCAAATTTAAGAACTGGACAGCCTTGAGGAGCCAATCTGTTACTTCATAAAGCTGTCCAAGACTACCAAGTACTTACTGAGGCTCATTCGTACGAAGCCATCTAGTGATGTCCAGTACGACAACCAAATGCTAGAGGCAGTCAGTCGCTCTCTTAAACAGGGACACGTCCTAATTCTAGATTTTGACCTGCCTAAGGTTCACTTTGTAGATCACACGTTCAGTGGAAATGACGACTCCATTGAAGCCAGATTCTTCAACTTGATTAAAGAACTGTGACAAAAGGAAAAAGCGAGATCAGTAACGTGATCGAGGGAAACCCCGACCCTATCCTGCTTCGACTGTATCTTCACTAATGAAGAATTCTTGTTAGATGACCTGACAATCCCCTCTCTTTTGGACAAGTGACCATGCTGTTATCGGCTTTCAGTATGTCCATAAAATCAAACTACCCGGAGGCACTTCTGGTGGTACTGAAAAAAACAGTGGAAACCTGACCATGTATGACAGGATATGAACATCCACTGAAGATTCATACTTGACAAAACCATGTATGCTATCAGCCAGTCTGCTCCACTTTCGCCGTCAAAGTGCTTCAAATCACTCAAGGTAATAAGCAACTCTACTCGTAAACTACTTCCGTTAAAAAGAAACCACTGGGTCGAATACAAAATGAATGGTAACGAAAACATATAAAGACTATTCAAACAGAGACGAGAACTACATGCACGAAGGCGTTGAGAGTGAATCGGCAACGACATCAATTTAGTCCTACGAAGATGCATGTTTTTAACATGAGAAGTCTGCTCCGGGACCGGACAAAATCGGTGCAGCAGTTTTGTGGGAAGCAGCACCAATCTTGGTCGAACATTTAAGTTATTTAATGATTCTCTAAGTCAAGAGAGAGCGTCCAATCCTTGAAAGTTAGGTCACATAACGTTAATCTTCAAAGGAAGTCAACGAAACAACCCAAAGGACTACTTATCAGTGACTCTCTTATCCCTACCCACCAAAACAATGGAGTCACTAATTTATGATAAATTGAAGAGTCATCTAAAACGACTAACTTATTTACGCCCTAACAACATGGATTTAGAAAAAGATAATCTTTTATCCATAATTTGCTCACCCCAATTGATGGATGGACTATTTTTGACCATAGAGGCAGAATTGGTATGATTTATTCAGACTTTCCTAAGGCGTTCAATCGTGTTAAACACAACTATCATAATGATAAATTAAAGTTAATCAGGATTAAACCACCGCTCATCGACTGGTTGTCCTTACGCCTATGTGGCTGTTTACTTCGAGTTCGGGCAAGTTTTTCTATCTGAAGAAACAGAATATTCAAGCGGAGTTACTCAGCATTCGGTGCTAGGGTCTCTTTTTGAATGTACATAAACGACTTGCCTCAACAGGTTTCTGATATCCTTCTTTTCGCCAACGACGCGAAAATATGGAGAGAAATCAGAAGTCAGGAAGATAGTGTCCCCTTACAGAAAGAATTGACCCAACTTCAGAACCGGTCGATCAATAATGGGTTTGTATCTAACTCTAAAAAATACAATGGTGTACACATAAAACATGACGCATGTCATGTATGTAGTTTCAGAGGCATAGAACTAGAAGGGCCATGGATAGAGAAGGATGAGTTTTAGTCCATCAAAACTTAAAATCCTAGAAACCAATTCCGTGGAAACTTGGTCCTAGTATTTCTTAGACAACGTTCTGGAAAATTTGATCGTAGATGTTTACAGGAAATTTCCAAAAGATTCATACGGCCTCACCTGGAGTTCGGGGATATAGTGCCCATCTCTCTGCAGACGTGTTCCCTCGACTTCTTATGAAGCTCGAGAGATTACACTAACTTTTATCTTTAAACTGTTTATTCCTTCATACACTTTTTTCGACTTTGATATCAGCCTTTTTCTATCCACCTGTTCCTTGTATGCTTGTGTGGTGTGGCAACATGAACCAGTGCACTTCTGTGCGAGATTCTACGTTGAGTTGTTGGTCTCTCTATGTGCCCCTTTTTGCAGATAGATTGGGCCTAGAACGCATCCAGAGATGGTTAACCAAATCTGTTCGAGGACCCAGGTCTTAAACATGAAAAACCACTACTAGCTATTGAGCCACATGCCTTGAAATATAGATTTGATAATGGCCTACATCTTAAACAGTCCTAGATACCCACTCTTCTACCTAACCTAAATGTAACACCACCTTAAAGGACACAACAAATAAGCCTAGAAAATAACAGCTAAGATATCAGACACAACTCCTACTCCTTAAATCGTCAAATATTGGAACGGTCTCCTTGTAAAAGTGGTGCAGGCTGATGCATCTGAATCCTCTAGACGCCAGCTTTGTGCCTGATTACAATGTAGGCGAGAACCTACTTAAAACTAATTTGATTTTCCTATTTCAACTGCCAGTTTTTCCCCTCTATTATCACACAGATTAACAATCGAAAGAACTTGCGATCACTTCCTCCAGACATGAAAGCCAGTTAGAGAGTTTTTATTCCGCTAGCAACCATTTGACTATAAATGATACGACTACCCAAGACCGAAAATCAACCAGCGATGATATGAAATAAATTTTGACTAGCAGCAAAATTTCCAAACGAATGAAACGGGTAACCTTTTTTGAAAAAAAACTGTATTCTTTAACATTCGCTAACTGATAGCAGTGCAGATAAATAAACTAAGCTTACTCCAATCTTCAGTGCTATTAGACTCCAGTCGCTCTGGCTTTGTCCACTGTTACAGGCCATACGACGATTTTCTTCTCGATTACGCTCACGCATTGATGAGACACCCCGAAACCACAAAGGGGCAATACGTTTACAGCGTCCAACTAGAGCTCTTACGAACAACGCTTCACTTGGTTTGGCGGTTGTGTGTACAGATTTGTGTAAACATTCGCTAGGCACACTAGGAACCTGGAATTCAGTATTAACAGATGGATGCGAAGTTTGTGAAGGTGTTACATTTGAAGGCTCCTCAATACATTGAGCTTGAAAAGGCTTAGTTACTGGTTCTGAAACGCCAGAAAATGAATTGTGGCAATACTTATCAGTTTTCGATGCATAGAACTCCACTTTCGTCTGAGATGGTAGTGGACTGGGATCACTTAATGGAAACCCCACTGAAGACATGCAAACTGAAGAAGAATTTGGATAGGACTCCTCTTGAATGATAGTGCATAATGGACTCAGATGATTTTTACCGGGATTATGGTGAACAGAAATAGGATAAATTAGTCCTGTAGGCGATGGTTCAGCTTTCACATTTATATTATTAGGCTCCATGCAGTTTACAGAATATAAAACCCATCCGTGCCAACAAATATACTCCTTAAAAGACGGAACAAAGTCACCACCAAACTACACCGACTGAGATGTGTTCAAAATTAGCACATAACTGAAAGATTCATATGCGCTCGTCTTTACTAAATTTCGTTTGTTTAAATTTACATATTCTAAAGACAGTTTTTTATAGTAATGAGCGCTTTAAATACAAACATTCTTGAAGTAATTTACAAATGCGAGTAATCATAAGAATAACAAACCCGGCATATTCAAAATGTCTCGGTGCATTCCTGAGTGTATGGACTTGTTAAATGTGAATAACCCGGCTAGTAGAACAGATGTACATGGAGACTTTAAAAAACATACTATGGCACCAACATGCACAGGAACATCTGTTATTGGGATAAAATTCAAGGATGGAGTTGTGTTGGCTGCAGATATGTTAGTTTCATATGGGTCACTTGCACGTTATATGGATTTTGAACGCATGTTTAAAGTAATTTGAGAATTTTCGCTTCAACTTATCCTTAAAACAGGTCAACAAAAACACTGTTATGTGCTGCAGCGGTGATGTGGCCGATTTTCAGTTTCTGAAGCACCATGTTGAGGAGCAGACTCATCTTGAGGGTCTCTTATCTGATGGCTTTCAGCTAAGGTATATTACTTATCTTTATCAAATATCTTTCTCTTAGTCCTCATGCTCTTCATAGCTGGGTTACACGTATTCTATACAACCGTCGTAGCCGTTTAGAACCACTTTGGAATACATATGTTGTGGGGGGCATCGAGTCTGATGGAACGCCGTTCTTAGGATACTGTAACATGATTGGAGTCTGTAAGTTAATTTTTATGTCAAAACAAAGTTACTCTTGACCTGTTCAGATAATATCTGGCGAACTTTCAAGAATGCATGCTAGAGGTTGTAAGGTTAATATTGTTGAGTTGGCGTTTAAATATCCTCACATTTCTCACTTTTGCTGTTATAAATCTATGAGATATCAATGAAACACTTGGATTCCTTGAGTAGAGGTTTTCTGCAAAATATGTCAGACAGACATCAAAATTTAAGAATGCTGTAGTTTATTTAATCCCACTTATTTTCGTAACATCGTTTAAGTGGTCTCCAATGTTTACGAGAAACTTAAGGTGTATTCTGTACGCTCAAAAGTATCATTGTTGCTATTTAAGTTAAATTAACTCTAATAATATGACTCGGTCTGTATTACCTACCAGTTTCATGGGAGTATTGACTCATCTTGATCAAGTCGCGATAACTGCGGGATAATTGGCTGTTTTTGCACTTTCCTTGCAGTTAAATAAGTTACTGATGCAAAAAGTGACCCAGACAATAATAACATGAACTGTTTGTTGTTAGACAGTTGAAGTCTAAAGCTGCAGTTATTATGCATGAGGTAAATCAGTTGTTGAGATGATTGGAGTATGTATTGCATATGAAACACTATTGTTGCACTTGAAGAATATTGTTAATTAGGAGTGATTACGTTTTCAGGGAACTGAAGGGTGGGTCAGATCAAGATATTAACACCGTATTATGGAGTCACTGATTGCTGGTCTCTGGTGTGTCAATAAGCGTAAATTTCTCAGTTATAATTCAGACAACTACTGAAATCTATCGTTGTATTCTTCAGAGATTATAACGCGAAATCCCTTTTAATCGTACAGCTGTTTACTGCTGTTATTTTCATTTGTGTCTTCTATCTTACGGACTCATTTTGCGGCGGTACACAATTGCGCCAAGTTACTAATGCTTGTGTGCGCATTAAGGAATTGCGTTTCACGTACAGAATTACCTACTTCGATATGATGTTAGCTGAGGAAAAACAAAGATAAGTTTTCGCTGCCATCAATTTAGGACGCTGCACTAATTCATAAAGTTATCAACTGCTTGCTTTATGTTTATATACAGTTGAAAAATATGAACCTAAATCTCAATGAGGTCCCATGCCTGTTTTAAGTTATCCAACTACACTACAACTCACGGAAATAAATAATCCATCTTCCACAATATTGAATTTCAAAGTTAAGCTAAGTAATATATGTAACAGGCTCTTAAACTACTGTACTAAGCGACTCAAAATTATAGCTAGATCTAAGCATTTGTGTATACACCATCCAGTGTTGTCGAAAAGCCTCTGTGGTTTTCTATTCACAATAATAATGCAACACAGAAATGCATCTACCACTAAGTAACATCTGACCAGCTGACTTATACAGTTCTCTTTAATCAGTGTCATATGTTCGAACCGCACTCCATATATCGAGGTTTAGGCAACCAGATAACTTTCGCACAATAAGTGCGCTTCATTGCATAGTAGACGAACATGTACATGGTTGCTAATTTACATTGTGTGAGATGGTGCAGATATATTGACTTATGTCGAATTAGGACTGAGCGAATTTCGTTATTGTTTCATTCCTACTCTCCATTTCTACGACTATCATTTTTAATTATTTTCCTTCCTTATTTCTCTACCTTTCACCTTGGTGTCGTATTATGGTACACTGTTATGAAGTATGTCAAGTTGAACCGTCACACAGTAATACTAAATCCCACTTATATTCCGGCTAACTGAATAGGAACCATATTCCACACTTCTCATTCCAGTTTCATACACTACATGATCTTACCATGTGACTAGAAAAAGTACTCAGTTAGGCTTGGATCCACTGATGAATAGCAGAGAAGATTCAAACCGTAAACTTTTCTCTATGGTTGTATTGCGTTTCTTTTATGTGGCCAGTAGCTCTACTAAGTCCATCCATTAATTTGTAACTCTGACTAACTTTTTTCGTTCCTATAGCATTTGCTGAAAATTGTGTTGCAACCGGTTTTGGTGCATATCTTGCTAGCCCAATCCTAAGGGAATGTTTGGAGATAAGAGCGAAAGGAGATCCAAACAATATAACGCAGGAAGATGCTATCGCCACAATAACAAGTGCTATGAAACAACTGTACTTCCGAGACTGTCGGTAGGTACTTCATTTTTCTATATTTTAGATAATGTGATATATATATATATATATACACTCGTTCACAAAAATTTTTTAAGTCCTGGTTTTAGTTAACTATTATGGTAGTAGTGTATATGTTAGATAGGTGATGACAATTTAGCGTAAGCCACCATTAGCGTTTTTGCAATGTATATAACTGAGGTAAAAACTATTTAAGACTAAAGTCTAGTATTTTACTCATTTTTAAACCTTTACCTAGGTGTCACGTAAATGTGTCTGATCTTTCACGTATTCATTGAAGGTTTTCAAAATCAAGTAATGATAAGTCTTACAATATGTTATCTGTTCAGATGGCTCTCTCGGATTTCTTATGGCATCATAAGAACTAAGCCACTAATACTAATAAGGATTTTATATCAATCACTCTACTTTGCGTGATGTAAAGCAATGGAATACTGTTTTGTCTCTACTTGCATCAGCCAAGACTGGAAGATAACACAGTAGTTTTTCTGTGTGATACTATGCTCAAGTTTTAGGCTATCTCATAACCTATCCCAACAATATAACCCGTAAAATTAGTCCATATGGAGCTGGTTACAATGAAGCAAACAGCTAGTGTCTGATGTAATTATTAGCAAGTATTGGAGTATAATGCATTAACGTCAGGTGTTGTTCGTTAACATAGGCATCATGTTGCTCATGGACAGCAATACATGCATATATCCTTCAAAGTACTGCGTTGCAACTATCTAAATTAGTCTTATACTCTCCATTGAGTAGTTTTAGTTTCGTGTTTTTCCTCGACAACTGCGAAGTATGCGGCTGATTACTCTCCTTGAACTCCTTGGTTTTATTGCAAATCTTATGTCATCTGCACTATTTTTTCATGTGAATCGTTTCGAAGTCAATATTGCTGTATTCTATCAACCTTTGTAGGGCGAATGGAAGCCACTGATAAAATGTCAGTGATTTTATGTTGGGTTACATTCATGCAATGCTAATACATTTTTGTGAAGCACAACAGTTGTGTGGTAGCAGCTATGTTCGACCCTGTGTTGTTGATTCCCCTCAGTTTGTAGTCACTGATTTGCTGTTACTCTGCTCAGTTTTAATAAAAATGAATTAAATAGAATTTCATTACATCTAGATTATCACTTGACAGTCGTACTCTTTGTTATGGAACTGTTTATGATAACACATCTATCGCCCTTCAGTTTAACGTATAACTATGGGTCAGTGTAAGTATTTGCTTACATCAGTTGCATTATAGAACATATCGGACTAAACCAAGGCTGCTCAACCGATAGCCGCTACCCCGACGTGGTGGTCAGGCTTGCATATCACAATAAGCCAACGAGCTATGCTGATAGAACGCTTGTTCCGTCGAGGTTCTATACCATGCCAGAAAGGTCCGTTGGACAGTGGTAAGGTGAAAGGCAGTTACCGTTGTAGTGTAAATTGCTACACTATGATGGGAATCCGAAGAAGAATACTGCTGCTAGCTGGATGGAGTGTGACTTCAGTAAGGTGTTTCCCTTTGAAGACTAAAAGTGCCACGAAGATGCTGCCTTCCCAATAAGAAGGGGGGGGGGTATCAGAAAAAGTTGATCTTCAAAATATCACACCCCTGCCCCACGGTCTTCCGATGCCAGTGGTATGTGTTTTCTCTATCCGGTACTTGAACAACAACAACAATCCGCAAAAGGCTATGTGTAACAGACATCAAGCAGATGTCCCCTGAGCTGTACGGTCACTCGATTCTTTTTCTCTTTTAGGTACCTTAAGAAACTAAGTTCGACATGGTTGAATGTTCGGTCGAAGTTAGCTAACGGTACATAATTAGCTGCTATACAGCTGTGCACACAAATTTGTTCACATTCACTCTATTTTGCTTATCTCTTGACAACAACAACAAGGTATCAAGCTCTCTTTTCTCCACAAACTGCGATATGAAAGTATTAACCGACGTATATAACCAGTTTATTTGGTTTTATAAAGTGAATGTAGGAACGATGTCTGCACATGACGTAGTTAAAATTAATCTAACACAAAATAGAACACTATCATTATTCATGTATAACCTACTCCTTAAAATTATCCAGTATGATGAACATGACAACTCAATACAAAGTGTTTTGAGTAATTCATAAATGCTGCATCTGCATTGCAACAGAAAACTTCAAGGTAGTTCTTACCCGCATTTTAAAAGACCGAGATTACCTAAACAACTTGATGTGATTATTTTGATTCATGCTGTTTATGGGAGTAGATAATCTATCCATCCAAATCAACGTAGGAGCAGACATCACTTCTTAACGGTACGAATTGCCACAGCTCATATCACCACATCAAGTAAGAAGCTAGTGAAGTGGAAGATGAAGAATAGAAAATTCAGTCAAACGAAATATAAAGTACTAAAAGAGAGAAAGTAAGAATGAGAAAATGGTAAGATTCGGTATAGCTTAAGAGGAGGATAATATGTGTATACATCTGCGCTACTGACATCGATTCTCAGCCATATCACCTAGAGTCTCCAACCACTGGTTCTTCTTGTCCTAGAGACCCAACCACCTAGTCTGCATCGCCCCACATGGCTCAAACCAACAGTCAAAGACTTCATACATTGATGCCATGTTTTATTGTGGGCGCCGCGAGCCTTTTTCCAGCCTAGACCTACTTCGGTCAACATTGTGTGACGAGGCAATCGGTGACTAGGCATGCATAACACATGTTCCAATCATCTCAGTTGATGAGGGTTTACAACAACCGTGTCAGCTGGTTTACCTCTTCTCCCTATAAGTCTACGCCTGAGCCTGACTTGTGCGTTACTCACATGGTGACACCACGAAACACGGCATGTACTACGAAGGCGACGGTATTCAGACACCTGAAGCCTTTTCATGTCTTCCACCTTCGATGGTCATGTTTCACAACCATAGAGTAGAACAGAGTGGAGTACTGTGGAGTACATGGAACTCTTAATAGACAATTGGATATCACGGCAGCTCCACAGGTGGAGTAAGTAGGCAAAAACCAGCCGAGTCTTTTGTATTCGTGCAGAGATTTCATCGACCAGTGAGAACCAGCCACCAGGTCTGATCCTACTTCCCAGTTAAGTGAAGTGGTCAACACACTCAACCACTACACTGTTACTGTTAGCCGAGGTACTGTTGAAGACTACTAATTGTGGATCAACAATTTGCATTTGAGTGTTGGAGAACGTATCCAAACATTCTCAAATTGCCACTCAAAGTGATCAAAAGACTCTGCTGTTGTCAGCGTCTTCACCTAACAGAACTATGTCGTCTGCATATTGTAGGTGTAACGAAAATTCTGCCGTGATTAGGTCCACTTGTGTGTAGTCATATGACGAGAGGGAGACCTCCATAAGAATATCTGTTGGAGCAGATAAACTTAACAGCATCACTCGTTGTTGTCAACTTCTTGTAGTTATGCTCTGATAACTGGTTAAAATTAGTTCCAATGTCACTACATTTATTTTCTTACACTTCAACCTATAAAGTCAAATGTATTTTTTTTTAATATCCAACATTACTTATCATGGCGTGTCTGTGCTTAGTGCATACTAAACTTCATGTCAACTGTGCAAAAACAATGTATATAATTTGTTTAGGAAAAATCATAACAAATTTCCCCCTTTTAAATTCTATTATTTTCTTTTTGCTTCTCTTAGTGCACTCGATACCTATCAAATGGCTGTTGTAAGTAAAGAAGGTGCAGAAATTCATGGTCCATTGCAGTTGAAATGTGATTGGTCTATTGCTGAATATGTTCATGGCTATGACTAATAGATTGTTTTAACTTTAATTCATCTTTCTTATGGGAAATAAAATTTTTGATTCACTATTATTTTTGTATGAACTAATCAACCTTGTGTGTTTCATTCTATGTTATCGATACTGAGATTTTTCTAGCATAGTTTACTTCATTTCTCCATATTTCGATGATATCGAATATTAGTAATGAATTGGTTGGTTATGCGTTGAAGTTATCGGAAAAGAAGTATCAACTATATTTTTAATAAATACACTTGGTATAACTTAGTATCACTGCAAGTCGCTTCACCTCAAATTAAAGTCAAATGGAAAAAATTAAGAAGCAAGATAAAATCATAACAACATCACAGTACTTAAGAGTTAACAGACAAAAAAGGAGATGAAGAACACAAGGATATATGTTTATAAGTTTCGTATGATTAAGTTGAATATATTGGCTTGGTTCTCTAATCCAGAAAGAATGGTAACTAATTGAAATCTCTCACATGTTGTGTAACGTATTGTAGAAATGATAAAATGGTTAGCCTCCGTGATATCCACTTAATTGTTATAAACGTTTTCTGGATGTGAAGATAGTAATGATAGGAAAATTTGTATCGTTGACCTGTCGACTAACTGTATCTGCAGGGTTGTAGAGCTGTGACTCATTGGTTAAGGGAGTTGACTTTCAACCAAGTGGATCATGGGTTTAGGCAGCCAAGTAAAGTGCTATTAGCCCTCCCACAATTGATGTGGTTCATTACCTACGGGATCAATATGTACAAGGTTGCTGATAGCATTTCGAGTTACAGGATCAATCGAATAAACCTTTTTCTGCGGAGATGTGACTCACTAGTCTACTTGATTGATCTTCAACTAGTAGGTCACAGGTTAGAATCTAGCTCCATCTACCAACGCTCCGACAGCCGGATAATATCACCAAAAGGTGTAATTCCTTGTCAATTGCACAAACGTGTACATGATTATCGAGCTATGTGTATTTTGTTTTGCAATAAACTCTGTATGAAGAGTATTCTTTTCAATAAATGCCCTTCCAGTTTCTACAATTATAAAATGTATTTGTACAGCGTGAAATCAAGCCACGTTAGGGGCGATTAAATTTTCAAAATAGAGTGAAATTTAGGGACTACAAGGAAATCGACTTATCTTTTTGACACGATAGTGAACAAAAAGATAACGAATAAGATGGCGGGAGTGACCTTTAGTTTGCTTGAAGACCAAGGGAGAAGTAACACTTGAACATGTTCTTTCTGAATGCGGAGTTCAGACTTGATTAGTCGTATTACAACAGCCTCCGCTATGTTGAGCAGGTGTTGACGAGTTACATATGGTATCGCTTTTGGAATACGATGAATGATATTGAAAGCTTTATTAGCATTTATGTGATGGGCTAGGAGTGAACTTTCACTTCGTCCTTTCCGAACCAAGCTGGTAAATCTCGTGTCCGGGTCGCACCTCCCTAATCGTACGCCTTATGTAACTAGTTCTACAGGAACAGTTAAATTGATATATGCAAGATGAACAGGTAAGATTAAGTAGGCTATCCTTTAGTCTCGGATTGAGCATTGGCCGACTACTGAATGATATGCAAGGCTGACCTGCATAAGACGTCCTATTGACTGGTCTAGCTAAGCTTTTTGATAAAATGTCACTTGCAACATCTTCCTTGAATTGTAAGCGGAGAAACAAAAGCTTCTTCACTGTCATAAGTTCTTGTTTAGGACCAATGTGGTTGATGTTAGTTTTGAAATCCGTTCTCTCTGAGAATGTCGTGGTTTTGTTCGGAAGTGGGAGTATTCAAATAGAATTTAAAAAGTAGTAGTAGTACATATAAGCTGAGTTTATCGGGGTATGCTGCTGAGAAGATGAGTGGCAAATAAGTGAAACGGTCGTCTGGTATGGTTAATGAAATCAGTATGAATGATTTTGAACGAGAATATAGGCACAGCACGGCATAATGGTTTAAATACATTCACAATATAGCTGAATAGGATGAAAACAATACAGTAAACTTGTGACCTATAAAATCTATTCTAGCTGTATTATACAGTGTATTGGTTAACAGCGGAATTGGAAATGCTGTATCATTTCTCGACTTTGAAATCATCAACTGTATACATCTTCGTGTTGATGTTCCCATCAGAACTTCAAACCAAGAATCCGTCAGTTTAAACTTCCAAATGTGTTATCCACTAACCGAATGACTTACAATAATCACTTTCCTTTCAGTAGCTTCTAGTCACTATTTTTGTTGAGTTGAATTGATCTGTCTTTATTCACGTGTTGGCTACCTGTAGGGAAACCACTCAGGCTAACTAACATGTTTCGATCTCTTGGTGGACATGAATAAGAAGAAATCAGTCATTCTGATTCTTATATTTCGCTCACTGGATCAAAATGACCACTACCAATGGATTAACAGGTGAAAAAGCCAGTTGCTCACCTACCAAACTGATATTTTAGCTTGTGAATCTCAATCGCCTATTGAACCGAATTGATCGGCCACTATTCGAGAATGGGCTACTGTACAGATGCTTCGATATTGCCGGTACTTTCAAATTTTATATTACCGACAGATAGTGGCTGTTTGTGGAACCCTATATGGGAATTACCAGCTGAATGTACCCCCACCCCGTCGGGTGATGTTGTCTCCACTAGGGCTCGAACCCGGAACCTATCGCTTCAAACGCTACAGCATCGTCTACTAGGCTACTAAGTCACGGTAGTCATTCGTACGACGAGTAATCTGTGATCTTTACTATGGAATTTAAAACGGGGGGGGGGGGGGGGTACATGTGTAAGGCTAAAGATGATCTTTTCGAAAACTATACGTCTGAAAAAAATTAGGTTTATCAGTCTACTAAACAACAAGCTGTTTCAGTGATTTCTTTAACAGCTGAGGGGATTTCCTGCATTACAAAAAATATGTGTAATGAGGTAGTTTCTTTGATTGAATAGTAAGGCAACCATTTACAGGTTTGTTTTCTAGGCTGTGAACTACACGCATTATGCCAGGGGACATTGATAACACTATCTGTCTTTCCAAGTTGTGTAAGCCAGTGGTCGCTTAGCGCCTATGCAATGAGTCATACGGCCCTAAATCCTTACTTTACACTTATCTGACCTTTCTTGTGGTAAAAAAATTGCTTGTTCAATGTAAGGTGCACAAATTTATAATTTAAACACTACGTTAATGATTGGTCGTGGCTAGCAGTGGAATCCGGGATGCGCATTTCGTCCTTTTTGAGACCCGTCAGCTTCTCAGTGAGTGATGTTGTCCCCACCGGTACACCCGGCTGACGAGTCCCAAATAGGACGAAATACACATCCTGACTCCACTGTTAGCCACGACCCATCACTAACATAATTAGAATCGAGGCATCCGCACAAGAACCCATAAATGCTAATAGAGACCGATCAATTCGGTCCAATCAACGACGGTATCATATAAAAACCACTATACTAATTAAACACTACGGTTATTAGCAAAGCCAATAAGAAGTTGGATGGTTTCAGAAGATCTCAAGACAAATATACAACATAATTAAGATAATTGTACACATCTAAACTCATTTGTGCATAGCTTAATGTATTGAATAGCTACATAGTATGGGTCAGCCGGTTATCCTTAACATGTAATGCAGTCAGTTGGTCACTGATTCGAGCTTCACTTGAGTAGTACCACCATCTAGTAAACAAACAGAGTGTAGGTCATTTCCTATTATGATCTACGTGTGTACATGTGTGTTGTCTGAGTTCCATAATACACTCACTGGAAATTAATTCGAAACATAAAATTCATTCTTGTCAGTAGTGAATAGTGCTAATAATTTCATTTAAGCTATAATCTAGAAATCCTTATCGATTAGTCAGGAAATGAATAATTTGTGAGCACAATTGTTTTCAATAAATACACGAAACATGCCCTTTGAGTCCTGGAAAGAAACAGGAGATAATTCCGCGAGGAAAATTTTCTTTATCGACCATATTTTCAAAAGCTGTACAATTATATTCATATGTATATCATAAACATATAAACAGTCTATTATAAAACAATAGGATATAATTACATCATTAAGGCAGCTAGCGCTAAAGAAAACCGAAATTAAGAATGAAAGTAGTTGCGTAATCATCTTTTAGACAATAGAAATAACGAGGAAGGTAAGAAGTTTGATAAGATGGAAATTGTTGCGAATATTGAGTGACAACTTGATAGATAGATAGATAAAGATATAAAGAAGGTGATGAATGAGACAAGCGTCATAATGAAGGTGATAATAATAAACTAATTAATTATAATGAAATTGATAAGAAGCTGTGGAAATGTCAAGACCATGGTAAGATATGAGATTGAACATACTTCGTTTGCACGCAGACATCTGGCTTGAGAACTGATGGATTGTCAATGCTTCCTCTGTGCACAGTTGTCTAAGGCGTATCCTTTTTGTACTATTCCATTTGACACGATAGAAGACACTGAAGGAGCTTTATGTTCAGAGTTGAGTAAATGTTCAACAATTGAACTGTTAATTGACTTACATTCTCTCCTCAACAAGCATGCAGGATAGTAGTGTTCAGAGATACATTTGGAAAGTATGCGGCCTATATAACTAGCTCCACAGCAATAATTAAATTTGTGGACACATATTGAGGTGACCCAAAGCAGCAACTTGTCCTTAATTCACTGAGGAACCAGTTGCTAACTTGGGAAGCTGATCTGCAACTTCAGAGGGAAGAATATCTTCTTCAGTGATCTTAACAGTCGATTCTTCAAGATCTCTCCTGCCGTATCGCCTTTGAAACTAACGTTCACAAACAAGGTCTTCTTTGGAGGTGTGCACGAAAACTGATGTCTTCACTTGTCTATTCATGTAACTGTTCTCTGCATAACAAACTATCAATATCACTGATGTAAACTCATTTGATATATCCTATATACAGTGTAGTATTATACATCTCCGATATCTCAACTTCACTGTTGTATCCGTGATTGAGTGATTCACTTGGATGATTTATGTTTAAAGAAAGAACATTTCTACAGTATGACATGAAAGTGTTCTACATCTTCTCAATAGATGGTTTCAGAGGTCGTCTCCTGTACATTGCCTAAGGTACTGTACTTGATGATGTGACAAATGAACCAAGCATTTGAATACATCACTAGCATATTCTTTGCAAGATACAAGTTTAGGGATAGTTGTACAGATTATGAAAGAGTTTCACTCCAGGTGAAACAACTACACAGAAATCTCCAATTTTCAACACTTATTTAATAAATATATCAATTTGCGGGAACTCTTCTCAGTACTTTATTTCTTTGAATTGAATTGAAACCCTTGACTTGTGTGTACTTTTATTTCTTAGCATTCAGTAACCAGGCGAGAACTAACAAGCTGACAGAAGAGGTGAGGCAGGGTAGAGAAGGAAGACGCGACTTCATTCAGGTGAACAACGTCCACATTTTCAACACCAACGTCAAGTCAGTGCTATGTTGTGGTTGAGAGAGTTGGCTTGTCATGAAGTGTGTTTCCAACAAACTACAGACATACGTGGTCAGCAGGTGCCGCCCACACTCACTCGGTAGTGACACTGAAGATGGAGATCAGATGACCAGAATGGAACAATAAGAATAAGTAACAAGGAACTCAACTCGTTTGAGATTTCTGCATAGTGATAATGGTAGCGAAAATTTGGACAAATAATTGAGTACTATAGATCAATTCATCCAATGATTCTAAAGGTCACATATTCTCAAACAAACCTACACAACAGATCACTCCAGAATTTCATCTCATTCAACTCCATTTCATAGAAGAAAATTAAGAGACAATATGCCTCCTTGATAATGCTGGATACTTCATTGTGAATTCCGTGAAAACATTTATCATCAGTAGGGCAATAGTCCTTCGAATGGCTTACATCTATATGGTTGTGTGTAAGATTACGACGAGTAGGAAATGCCTCCATTACATGATTATATGAACACTTACTGATATCAGAAAATCGTTGAAGTAAGTTCTTGTTGAACATTGAAGATATAAATATTTGAAATGATGTTAAAATGGGTGTTTCATCTGACAAAACATTGAACTATACAGATGGGACAAACATGTCAGCAACTTGTAAAGGAAATATCGAACATTCCACAACTTTGATATGTGAAAAAACCTGAAAATAATGTAAACTCATAAACACTGTGTATATTCTATAAAGTGATATTTTCTTATTCTTTTCATAACTTGCAGACACTTTTCAATATTATGATAGAGTTTAATGTCCTTCCTTCTGTACTGTTCAGGACAGCTCAAATGTTGTAGATTTCGCTACCATTATCAATTTGATGATGTCTGCAAACTGACTTGTCTCATGTTAAATTCACAAGTTCCACAAACCTTTATCAACCTCGTTCAACAGCTATATGCCTTATGATGACGCCATATGCCAAGTGATTCATAATGGAAAACTCAGTGATGCCTTTGAGGTAAAGACAGGAGTAAGACAAGGCTGCCGCCTACTATCACCGATCATCTTCATGATTGTGATCGACTGGACTGGATCTTGCAACAAACTGTGAGGAGCGAGAAGATGGGCATACGCTGGCTGGACAGATGAAAATGCCCCAGAAGAAGATTTGGCTTTCGCCGATGATGATTTATGTCTAATCTCTTGTCACAAAAACTCGAAGATCTACAGGCAAAAGCTAACAAGTTGGCGGAAAAGGCGAGGTAGGGTAGCGAAGGAGACGGGAATTCCTTCAGGTGAACGTAGAGAAGACGGAGGTGATGAAAATACCCAATCATGATCAACAACAACAACAACCAATCACCATCAACGGGAGAAATCTAAAGCAAGTTGTCTCTTTTACCTACCTAGACAAGGCAGCATCGATCCAACTACAGGCGGCTGTACACATGAAGATGTCAAAGCAGCCAGGATCGGAAGGACAGCAAGACAGGTCTTCATTAATCTGAAACAATCAGTGTGGAGATCTACTACATTCCACTCCACTCAGCATAAAGCGTCAACAACATCCGGATTTTTAAGTCAGCCAGTCCAGTCAGTACTTCTAAGTGATGACTAGGAGACTTAGCGCATTTTGAAAAGCATTTCCAACAAACTACAGACATACGTGATCAACAGCTGCCGCCTACGCTCATTCGATACTGAAGATGATTATATGGGCAGAATAATAAGAATAAGCAACAAGGAACTCACTCTAGCCTGGCAACCAACCAAGAACTCATCGCTCAACAAACATGCAGTAGAAGAAAGTGGAGATGGATTGGACATATACTGAGAAGACCGTTTGGGGACATCAGGAGTCAAGCCCGGCCAGACCGTCGAGTGGAAGCCGAATGGGGAACGACGAGTTGGTCGTCCAAGGCGAGGGTGACATGGAAGAGATCGTGTGAGAAAGAAATGAAAGCTTTTGGACAGTCGTGGATCCAGGTTGAAAAGAGTTCAGAGAAGAGAGCGAAATGGCGAAGTGGTACTGAAGCCGTATGTTCCACTAGGAACCCAAGGGACAAACAATAATAATGATAAATAGTGATAAAAAAGTGAATCTCACACAATTATTACATTTGGATCATATGACTTGGTTCACTCTAAGTATTATACAATTATTTGACTGACACTTTTTCATCTCCCACTCACCAATCTAATTGATCAATCTTCTCACTGTCTCAGAATTTCACAAATCTGTTGGTATTACAATGCGTCTGCCTCAATGTGAACAATCAATCGAGCGTTGAAAACAGGAATAGTATACCAGTGTGAAAAAAAACACTACCTATCGTCTGTGTACCAATAATGCTCAATTAATGACTAACCATCCTAGAGTTAATGGTGGAAAAAAGGTTTTAACCCGATACATATCTATATACTAAACTGTGAGTCATACTTATTATCGGATAGCTCACGGTTACCCAGGTTGGAGTAGATGAAGAGGTGTTCAAGCTGGAGACATTATGATTTGAATGTTGACTGCTCATACCAATCGCCACATTTCGAGAAGTAAACTTACTTATTTCTAAATCCAATGACTGAAGTGACGGAGTGCATAATTATAAATCTTCAAACGATATTTAACACGATGGGACATTTGGAATGGATGCGAACAGCAAATGTTCTCTCTCAGAAGACCGCCTCGTAACCGTAATGACAACTTTCTACTAGACAAAAATACACCATTTATATAGTTTTCATGAACGTATAAAATTACTAGATCAAAAGTAAAATAACTTATTTTGATTGGTCGGTCAACTGTAGGATAAATTGCCCAATAGAATTTTTCCTGACCACATAGCAATATGAAACAATTGATCAGCCTCTGTTGGCATATGGGCTCCTATGCGGATGCCTCGATATGGCCTGTCTTTTAACTATGTTTAGTAATGATGGGCAATGGCTAGCAGTGGGATCCAGGAGCGCATTACTAAACATAGTTAAAAGACAGGCCATATCGAGGCATCCGCATAGGAGCCAATATGCCAACAGAGGCTGATCAATTCGGTCCTATCAACGACGGTGTGATACAAGCAATAACACTAAAACCTATACCCGTTGCACAAGAAGTGGTTATCGTGGCTCGGTGGTGCAGTGGATAACGCGCTGGCGTTTGAAGCGATCGCTCCCGAGTCCAAGTCCCGGTGGGGACAACATCACTCACTGGGAAGCAGGTACATCCAGCTGACGAGTCCCAAATAGGACGAAATGCGCATCCTGGATTCCACTGCCCATTATTACTAAATATGAAACAATAGTGGAAATTCAGAAACTTTATCTTAGCGGCTGATGACTTATAAAGTTGATTCCTATCATTGACATTCTATAATAATATCTCCAAATAATTTTCTGAAGTTTTTTTCATGTGACACATTATTGTTTCTCATGAAATAATTTCAAGTTGACAATAAAAGCTAACGAACACCAACATGTCCGTCTGTTAAGTTCGTAAACGAGACCCATTTTATGAAGCCAACGAACTACGAGTGCGAATCCAGAATTTACTAGGTGGGAGACCCCCATAAAGACTAGTGAACCAAAGTGAATTCGGATACCATGCCAATACACTTTATACTTGTCATTAAACGAGCTCGAAGAAAACACTGTTTTATCCTGAATACCCTAAACCAGAGAAATGAAAATCTTGCATGCATGTGTTCTTCATAACCATAAACAAAGTATCGATAAAAACAAATCCATGATTGCAATAGTCTAAGAGACAAAAGAAAAAAACGGCTATAAAACAAAGTTTACTTAAAAACGTCTGACAAGCAACTTTTTACAGGCGATAGAAGGTGAAAATATACAGTATACATATACGTCTACAAACAAAGGTTATTTGTACAATGAAATGAGGGGGGGGGGGGAAGTGAAGTCAAAATATTGTTGATTGGATTAAGAGGTTTCAGCCCCACTGCCTTCATTATCATCACCATCATCTGTATCAACACCGCTGGATTGTCCCTCTTCACTTAATCGTTCCCAGTAATCGGATGGTATATCAAAAGCTATTTCTGATCGTTTAAAGGTAATATTCGATTCATCAGAGTCCCTATTATCATTTTTATGAGTAGTAGTGTTCTGGGATTTCGTTTCATCATCATCATCATCATCATCATCATCATCCTCACCATCAGAAGACGAAGAACTCCCTCCGCCTAGATATTCTTCCCAATTTTGTAATCGACTAGCTTCTTTATCTTCTGACTCAAATACATTGTAATTTGTTTTACCATCCCAACGTTCAGCCTCTAGTTGTCTAGCTCCTCCTGTACCAGGATAATCAAATAATGCTTTGGATAAAAATTGTATTCCTGTATCCGCTTCTTCAGGTGTAGAAAATGTGACACTGACAACACCCTCTGGATGAGCCTACATATATTCAAAGCAATAAAAAAATTAAATAAATATTTGTAACTCAGGATGTTGATGTTGAGAGAAGAGAAAGGACTTCGTTTATGAAGCTATTATGCACTGATGACGATATCTAGCATGATACTAAAACGTTTGCTGGATGAAATTCTCAACTCAGAGTACAATTTACTCTGAACAAAGTCTAGTTGATCCAAACATGACTTATATCAGTCATTATGTTCAATGTATAGAACAGTAAGAAATTACTTTTTATGAATTTAGGAACATGTCATTGCTCATAGTGAAGTTGGCCTACAATCTTCTTCAAATATATACTGCTTACTAAGCCCATCCACTGCTGCCTTCATCTATGCATACAATTCCATGTTAGTGACTTTTTTCTACTAACACCAGACAGTTGTGCTCCTCCAGTGATGTCCGTCAAGGCTGTTCACTGTCTCCATTCTTATTCAATTTTATCATAGATATCCTAATGGAGGTCTCCCTCTCGTCACATGACTACACACAGGTGGACCTAACCACGGCAGGATTTTCGTTACACCTACAATACGCAGATGACATAGTCCTGTTAGGTGAAGACGCTGACAACAAGCAGAGTCTTCTGGACACTTTGAGTGGCAATTTGAGAATGTTTCGGATACGTTCCTCACCACTCAAATGCAAATTGTTGATCCACAATTAGTAGTCTTCAACAGTACCTCGGCTAACAGTAGACAGTGTAGTGGTTGAGTGTGTTGACCACTTCACTTAACTGGGAAGTAGGATCAGACCTGGTGGCTGGCTCTCACTGGTCGATGAAATCTCAGCACGAATATAAAAGACTCGACTGGTTTTTGCCTACTTACTCCACCTGTGGACCTGCCGTGATATCCAATTGTCTATTAAGAGTTCCATGTACTCCACAGTACTCCACTCTGTTCTACTCTATGGTTGTGAAACATGACCATCAAAGGTGGAAGACATGAAAAGGCTTCAAGTGTTTGAATACCGTCGCCTTCATAGTACAGGCCGTATTCCGTGGTGTCACCATGTGAGTAACGCACGAGTCAGCCTCAGACGTCGTAGACTTATAGGGAGAAGAGGTAAACCAGCTGACACGGTTGTTGTAAACCCTCATCAACTGAGATGATTGGAACATGTGTTATGTATGCCTAGTCGCCATCTGCCTCGTCACACAATCTTCGTCGAAGTAGGTCCACGTCGGAAAAAGGCTCGGAACGGCCAGACTAGAACATGGCATCAATGTATGAAGTCTCTGACTGTTGATTTGAGTCATGTTGGGCGATGCAGACTAGGTGGTTGGGGACTCTAGGTGATCACATGGCTGAGAACCGATGTCAGTGGCGCAGATGTATACACACATTATCCTCATTTTAACGACGCTATACCGAATCTCACCATTTTCTCATTCTTCCTTTCTCTCTTTTAGTACTTTATATTTCGTTTGACTGAGTTTTCTTATCTTCATCTTCCACTTCACTGACTTTTTACTTGATGTGGTGATATGAGGTGTGGGAACTTCAATCGTTACGCAGTAATGCCTGGTCCGATGTTGATCTGGATGGGGTGATTTTATTTAGCAATTCTGGCTGTTTCTTCTCCCTATGTAGTTTTAAAATCTTCCCACTGAAGTCAATGGACACTACTACACATTGTGATTTGAAGGTGAAGCAATACACATAATGGCTACAGATATTGACAAATAATGAAAATGATATGATACTTATGCCTTCCATCGTATGGAATATTGGTGTTCTATAAGCTAATCATATTTCACATAGGGAAATAAAGTAGAAGTCACTTGAATATACCTCGGTTACCCTGTATATAGGCCTTATGTAAACCTAGATTAAAGCCAATTGGGATCGCTTTAATGCACAAATCAAGGGATAGAATCTTCCGATCATCGTCCTACAGTCAAATCCTAATGTCACTAGAACTGACAATCATTGTGTTGCACTATCAAATAAGATGGAGATACTCTTCTTTTTTTCGCACGTGGTTGCCATAGCTACTAATTATGTCTTTGATAAGATGAAACGGTTGGTTGATTGGGAAGTTACATTACTTTCATTAAATCACAAATAAAAGTTTTGCGTTTAACGTGCTAAGGTTTAAGCAACTTGTCAGTAGTAATCATCACTGACTGACAAAGCCAACGTAGAACCTTGCAGTAAGTGCACATTTCATAGGCGTACACAAAGAACAGATAGATAAAAAGGAGTGATATAAAAGTAGGATAAAGTTATGTGAGATAATAAACAATCTGAAGAGAATGGTTAGGGTGAATATTCAAGCTTCAGAAAATGTCAAGGAATGAACGAATCTGCACCACTGTAATCGATTTCCAGCCATGTAACAAATAGTTTTCAAACACTGATTCCTATCTTTTTGTGGATCTCAACCAATCAGTCTACATCCCCCCATAGGGTTCAATCCAACAGTTAGGGACTTCATCGACTGGTGTCATATCTTGGTCTGATCTCCGTGAATATGATTCCATCCTAATCCAACTTCCCTTAACATAGTACGTTGAGGTAAGTGGTGACTCCGCATATGCAGCACATGTCCAAGCCATCTCAACAGATTAACGTTCACAATTTCGTTAATCGATTTGTTTGTCTTCCATAGTACCTTTCGCCTGATACTTCAACATTATTCACACGGTAGTTATCAACTGTCATCCGCAGGCAAAACACATTGGCTACTGTGAACTATTACATAAACCTCTGAATAGCTTTTCATGTACAAGAAAAAAGCTAGCGAAATGCAGCACTAATCCAGTAACGCACTAGTAACTTTACTCATTCACTTTCCAGTTTCTGTTTTTAGACTGCCTTGACCACTTCATTGTCAAGCTCTACCGTTTATCAGTTATTTTTTATTCTTAAATGTAAGTACATACATCCTGTGTACTTGGTGAGTCATTCACTCAAGTTTTTCTCTCTCTTCCAGATGTTCAAGGTCACCATTATACTCACACTACACGCCTTCTGCAACAATGCACGTACTTACCTACCAACAGGCTAGACAAAAACGTATCAACAACTGGTCGTCCTATATATATATATATATATATATATATATATATATATATATATATATATATATATATATATATAGAGAGAGAGAGAGAGAGAGAGAGAGAGACTATTAAAAAAACAGGACTTACATCATGAACAACAATCTTTTTAACAATACCACATTTGGCGCATTGTACACGTAAACGCTCTCTTACAATTGGAATTAGAGTGACATCATTCTACAATCATCAGAAAGGGGAAAAAATTTACAATTGATGCATATACTCAGTAAAAAAGACAACAAACTAATGAATCACAACACATAAAACAGTACTGTTACACTTGTGACTGAATCATTGTCAACTAAGATTAACAGTAATCTGAGTTTTAGGAGAGAGAAAACAATTATCGGTTTAATTTATAGGTTTGTTGGGAGTTTATTGATCGATTTCAGGTCTTGGACTGAGATCAGTTGAAGAAACATCAGAATCCAGGCGCATTGAACAGCTGTTTCGTCCTAGTGTGAGACATTGCAGTAGTGCTCACCTATGACATCGCCAGGGACTGAAGCTACGACCTTCAGGTTCCGCGGCCATCAAATCACCATTGAGCATCAGAATCCAATGGTCCATATTTCCTGCTTCTGTCAGACCATTGGATTCCATTAAGCGGCTCAATGGTGACGAGCTGACCACAGAACCTGAAGGTCCTGTGTCCGGTCCCAGGCATGACCTTGGGTGCGCACAACTGAGGCGTCCCATATAAGGACGAAATAGCTGTCCAACGCTCCCAGGTTCCCAACGCTTCTTTAACTGAGGTCAGTTTATGAATACTAACTTGAAATGAATTGTTGACTTTTCTGTCTACCGTCTACAGTCAGTTATAGAATAACCTCGACCAAATGGATTATTAACTCGTTAGTTAGTGACTTTCAGCAACTTCCATCTAAAAATAACCTTACGTATACAATAGTTCGCATTATGTATCTTATGAATAACTATTTTATTTTCTTGAGTTCAATGTCCGTTTTTTTGTTCATTCTTTGATAAATCCTATCACTAACAAAATAGTAGAAGGAGAGGGATACAAACCAGACAAGTAACCGACGTCGTTCATATTGATACAGCGGCGGCCATGAATTCGAGTTTTTTGCTGGGTGTCGACAAAAATCAAAACTTAGTATGGCAAACAATGCATAAACCAGAATAATGCGTTTTCGCTTATTTGGTGGTTTATAATGTATTTGAAACCACGTAAGCGCTCATTTCGATCACCCACCCCATCATACAGTTCTCCGGCTGCGCAATCCTGGTTAACTGTAGGTATTTATTTACTTCATCATTCACAGTTAATTCAGGATTTTTTAAGACAACTAGAGAAGTCAATACAAAGACTGACTAATTTTGAAGAAAGAAATCATCTGAGACGGGTTTCAGTTCATGGTTCAGATTTATTGAACATGATCACCAGACACACATATAGTACCTTGCACAATAAAAACTCTCCTACAAGCTGATGATGCAACTTCAATCTTCACCAAGACTTTGACATAGCAAAAATTAACACTTAGAGTAGAATAATGTGGATCCATTTTATTAACTCGGTGGTTCCCATCAGCTGTTTACAACCTAGAATATTTACAACAACAAATTACAACAAAATATTAATAAACTACAGTTCAGTGAGTTCAGCAGAAAGGGATCAACGACAACAAAGCGAGTTAAAGAGGCTGTCCGAATTGAAATAAGGTCAGCGTCATGCAATAATGCCCTAAATACATTTAGGTCTTATTAGAACGAAAATTCTCGTAAAAAATAAATGGAATATAAAGACAATGGTAAATCCAACTTTCTGGATTTCAACATTCAACGTAGAACTTATGGTACACTTCAGAGATTTAATCATCCCAGCAACACATGGAATGCTTATAACCTTAATTTCAACAGTTTCTATCTAGACAGCTACAAACAAGCATTGGTTAGAACACTGTTCTACAGAGCATGAACAATATGCTGCACACCAGATAAACTTGAAGAGGAATTATCGCTTCTCAAGAAGTATCTTAAGGAAAACGGATACTCACAAAGCTTTATCAACAAATATGGCAGAAGAGAATGCAGTAAATTTGAGAAAATAACAGTTGGTAAGAAGTTGATTTCCATTCACCTCGACTTCAAATGTGATGATGCAGCGATGATGGTTAACCGAAGACACTGTACAATGCATTGGTCAGAATATATCCCACAGCAAAGATACTTCCACTGCTGCGTAGGTCGTGCATACTGGTACAATCAAAAGTCAACAGTTGCCCCTGATTATCTTACCTGAGATTGTTTATGTCTGCCTGGGCAGTTACATTCGGAGAACATTGAGAACTCGCCTTCGACATGTTGAACATTTCCGAAAAGCTGACGATTGAGGCGAGTATGTATCCTCAATAGTGAAATCACTAACCACCTAGTGGACACAGGACATCAAACAGATGTCTTGGAATCCTTTAAAATAATCAAGTAACAGAAGAATTGAAGTCTTCTTCGCTTCGCTGAAGCCATTCCACTCAAATGCATGTAATCAGATTTCGGTATTCAAAAGGAATCTATCATCAATCTTCAACTATACCCTGATAACCTAATCTCTTACTTAATTACATCATTACCCTGTCATTAGATTTCCAGTTTACTCTAAGCACCAATCTTAATCGACTGGATTCCACTCAATCTGATCTGCTACATTTTGCTTTATGATTAGTACTGACTTATCTCTACTCAGTGATCTACGTGATGTTTTGTTCTAAATTACACAGTATTCTCTCGTCTACCTCAAGTTAATTTTTACGAGAATCTTCGTTCTAATAAGATATGCATTTGGGACATCATTACACGAAATTCTGACTTCTGACAGTCTCCTTACCTTGGTATGGCGTTGTTGCGTTTTGACTAATTTCACCAAATCAAAGCGTGGGGTTATTTCTTTGTAATTTGTTTGTGTAAATATTACAGATTGTGAACACGTGATGAGGATGGTCGAAATGAGAAAATAGATTGATACTATATTATATAATACCTCGGTATGTCGTTGCAGCGTTTTCACTGAACTACAGCATGTTAATATTTCAGTGTAATTATTCTGGGTGATAAACACTGCACAGTAGTCCGGTTTGTTCTACTGTATGGCTGTGAAACATGACCATCGAAGGTGGAAGACATGAAAAGGCTTCAGGTGTTTGACCACCATTGCCTTCGTAGTATAGGTCGTATTCCATGGTGTCACCACGTGAGTAACGCACAAGTCAGGTGTAGAGTTTTACGGAGTAGAGGTAAATCAGTTGACACGGTTGTTGTGGACCTTCATCGACCGAAATAGTTGACTCCGACATGTGTTACTTATGCCTAGTCACCGATTGCCTCGTCACACAATGTTGGTCGAAGTAGGTCCAGGCTGGAAAAAAGGCTCGAAGCGGCCAGACTAGAAATGGCATCAATGTATGAAGTCTCTGACTGTTTGTTTGAACCATATAGGGCGATGCAGAATAACCGGTTGGGGTCCGTAGACAAGAGAAACCAGTGGTTGGAGAGTCCAGGTGATCACATGGCTCAGAACCGATGTCCTCATCTGAACGACCCTTTACCGAGTCTCACCATTTTTTCATTCCTTTTTTCTCTCTTTTCGTGTTTTATATTTCTTTTGACTGAGTTTTCTTCTCTTCACCTTCCATTTCACTGCCTTTTTACTTGGTATACTGATATGAGTTGTGGGAACTCGAACCATTACGCAGTAATGGTTCGAGTTCTATGTTGATATTGATGATGAGGTTATAAGCAGGTGACGAGAACCGCCGAGGTAATTCAATAGATCCATACTATTCTAATTTAAATGTTTATTCTTACTCTTTTATAGTTGAATAAAGGGAAATATATGTGTATGAAATCGAGCAAAATACATTAGGGTTTTATAAACTTCTTGGCATGAAGTTTTGTTCAAATCAACAAAGCCAAGTTTACTTAGCTGTGGACACCGCCTTTGAAACACTTTTTTCCTTGATGAAGCGAATTTTGACCAGATCTGTATAACATCTAATAAACTACTTATTAAATGTAACGTTGCCTTTTAAAATTACATAGAAATTATACGTTATCACTAGTTGGAAAACTGATGATGGTTGCTGTGTCGGAGATACAATACTGGTTCCAATGTTATTTAAATTGTTTGTTTGTTTTTGATATACTTAAACAAAAACTGTTCTATTTAACCACTTCCAAGTACCACACACGATTTATACTGCAGAGAGTGAACAATTTAGATCTGATAAGCATGCAATTAGAACGACTACCAATCTATAAATATTATACAAAATGTTAACTAACGCACTAAAATAAGAAAGACAGGTATTATTCACAGAAGAATCATATTGTTACTGTTACCACTCGAATGGAAGTGATGAATAGTTTGATTCCTAAAATACTACTTCTTCTTGTTCACACATGACTTCACATCTTTGGTGTGTAACGGACTGATGAGATAGTAGTTTGGTAGGTGAAGAGTTTAAACTTATGATCTGGTAATTAACAAGTGCGAAGTACAAATCATGTGGGGACTAAATTGCAACGCTTCGCATCATCATAGAACAGAGTATAGAATGCAGTCAACCCTCTATCTCAACTTCATCGACTTTGAGAAGGCCTTTGACAGCGTCGATTGACAAGTAATTTGGCAGTTGCTTCAACACGGCGGAATACCAGAAACCTTTATCCACCTCAGTCGACAACTATATGAAGACGCTACATGCCAAGTAATTCAAAATGGGAAGCTCAGTGACATCTTTGAAGTGTAGACAGGAGTGAAACAAAGCTGTCTAATATCACCCATGATATTCCTGATTGTAGTGGACTGGATCATGCAACAAACCATGAGAAGCGAGAAGAGGGAGATACGCTGGACCGGGAAAAGATCCTAGAAGATTTGGATTTCGCCGATGACTTATGTCTAATGTCTTATCACACAAACGTGAAGATCTACAGGCGAAAACTAACAAGTTGACAGAAGAGGCAGCGAAGACAGGACTTCAAGTGAATATAGAGAAGACAGGTGATGAAGATACCCTACCAACAACAACAACAGCAACAACAAGCTCCAGTCACCATCAACGGGCGAAATCTAAGGGAAGTAGCCTCCTTTACCTATCTAGGTAGCATCGTTTCAACTACAGGCGGCATAGGCACAGACGAGGACGTCAAAGCCAGGATCGGAAAGACAGCAAGACAGGCGTTCATTAGCCTGAAACCAGTGTGGAGATCTTCTGCACTACTCAGCATAAAGCGTGAACAAGATCCGGATTTTCAACACCAACGTCAAGTCAGTGCTTCTGTATGGTCCAGAGACTTGCAGAGTTACGAAAGGGATTTCCAATAAACTACAGACATTCATCAACAACTGCCTACGCTGACTCGATACTGAAGATCAGATGGCCAGAATAATGAGAATAAGCAACAAGGAGCTCTGGGAACCAACCAACCAAGAATCTATCGCTGAACAAATATGCAGAAGGAAGTGGAGATGGATTGGGCATACACTGAGAAGGCCGACTGGGGACATCACGCGCCATGCCAGGCACTCGAGTGGAACCCCGATGGGAAGCGACGAGTTGGGCGTCCGAGGGAACGGTGACATGGAAGAGATCCTGCGAGGAGGAAATGAGAGCTTCAGGCTGTCTTGGAGTGAGGTTCAAAAGTTTGCAGAGAACAGAGTGCACTAGAGACGTGTTCTGAAGCCCTATGTTCCATTAAGAATCCAAGGGACACATAAATAATAAATAATAATTATCAAGTGTACACAATGAATGGAAGAATAATCAATGCTAACAAATGTTTTAGCTCAGTTATTTTATATACATAATACGACTGAAATGTTATATTGTCTTCTTATCATTCCAGATGCCTGTCAGTGAGATATCTTATCAGTCATAATAAGCCTACAGTATGGGAAATACTAATGACTGGTACTCAAAAGTTAATATACTTTGAAAGTGAAGTAAAAATCTAGTCAGCAGTCGGACCTTGTAGCTCAGTCGGTAGAGCATCGGGTCGGAAACCCGGTGGTCGCTGGTTCTAATAAAGGCCGTGGTTTAAATTTTCATTTCACCTTCAATCGTCATCCCGTATACTTACCAGTTTGCCAAACCACGGCTATCTCTCTCAGATGGTCAAAATGATAATCAATATGATGTTCCCTCTCTCTAATTCAGTTACATTGGAATTGGGATGAGAAGTTTTGACTAGGTAACCAGTGTGAATACCATCAAGCGGAGGTAACGCGTTACAAATTTACATGGTGGTCGGGTAAAACCATGGTGATTGGAGTGAAATTTGAAAAAAATGTGGTCAGCAGTCGAACTCGTAGCTCAGTTGGTAGAGTATCAGGCTGGAAAGCCGATAGTCGCTGGTTCGAATCCGGCAACGGTTTAAATTTTCATTTCACCTCCAATCATTACCCAGTATAAAAGACTACTTATACGCTTACAAGATATTTTGATATCATAGAATGCTTGACAAGATATTATCATGAAGTGTGAACATGATGATGAACTGAAGGAAGTTCTGAGATCTGACAAGAGTGATGACTACTTAAGAATGGTTTACTGTGCCGTTTCGAATTCTGCGGCACTTCTACACCGATAAAGAGATTTGTATGATTCAATTCAGAGGCTGACTGCTTAAAATCTATAGTTAGATACTTTCAATACTGGTGCTGATAACCATTTACATACACTGTTATTATGAGTAAGAGGGGAGCAGCAAACAATGTGTGTAGATATGACTGAATGATTGAAACAATCGATTTTTACAGCCTTTAGTTCATAGCATGATATCCCACTGTGAAGGTCACTAAACAAGTCGATTGAGATGGCTTGAACATGTGTTGTACATCCCAAGCCACCGCCTACCTTGACACGCCATGCTAGGAGTTGCATTCGGTTGGAAGAAGGCTAATGATGACCAGACTCAAATCTGAAACCAGTCCATGAATTGCCTGACTGTTGGTATGAGCCTTGTGGGGAGGTGTGGACTACTACTGGTTGGGGTCCCTGAGATGATAGGACATGGCATGGCTGGAAATCGTGACAATGACGCAGATATATTCACTCTTTGACGTCTTCTAAAGCTTCTCACTAAACTTCATTTCCTTATCCTCTTTCATACCTTTGTGTACTACTGTGAAGTTTGGCCACTTGAACCGATGCACTTGTGTACGAGACGGTTATACGTTGATTTTGCCTATCTCGCTGTGCGTCTGTTTACTTCGCTTTTATCCAGTCTATACAGTTAACACCTCCCTAATAAACACCTGTAAAAAGGAGTTGCTGTTAAACTGGTTATAGAGTAAACAGTGAACCAATCCACGCTTACCTGAAAATCACTTTCAATAAATGCATTCTTAAGGATGACCACTCTTTCTTTTTTACCACGAATAAATTTACTAGTATCAATACTCCATCGGAAAAGGCTGAAATAAGTAATTGTGTGCAACAAGAGAGAACAAGTAAAGTAAAATATTAGAGAAACCAAGTAACAAATTATTATTATTCGATAAACTAACTTATTAAAGAAATTGTGAGATGCCTTTTTTCTTCTTTTCTGCCTAATTCAGAAGGATTTAATCATTTCAATTGGTTTTCATTGAAATTTTTATTCCCTACCATTAGGATTGCAGTAAAAAAAATCATGAGGAAACTTGCTGAACAATTTGTCACATCGACATGAACAAAGAGGTTTACACAACTCAAATGTGTTTGAAAGTAGCTTTAATCATAGAGGAATTAATGATGGATCGTGGTTAGCAGTGGAATCCAGGATGCGCGTTTCGTTTCATCTCGTACTGAGTTCCAAACAGGATGAAACTCGGCGTCAAGCTGCTAGCCACTATCCATCATTATTATCAAAACTGAAACACAGGCAATATCGAGGCATCTGCGTAGGAGCCCATATGCCAATAGAGACCGATTATTTCGGTCCAATAGACGATGGGATAATACAAGCAATGATATACAGACAAGGGATTAATTAAAAGCACTAGATTGCTGTATTATTCTCGGTTTTTGCACTCTTTGGAAGTGCTCATCCACGACTCTATGATCAAGCGAGTCTACGATATCATAATCATCATCATTATCAACATAGGACCAGGCATTACCACGTAACAGTCCGAGTTCCCACACCTCATATCACCACATCAAGTAAAAAGTCAGTGAAGTGGAAGATGAAGATAAGAAAACTCAGTCAAAAGAAATATAAAGTACTCAAAGAGAGAAAGGAAGAATGAGAAAATGGTGAGATTCGGTATAGCGTTGTTAAAATGAGGATAATGTGTGTATACATCTGCGCCACTGACTTCGGTTCTCAGCCATATCACCTAGGGTCTCCAACCACTGGTTCCTCTTGTCCCGTGGACCCCAACCACCTAGTCTGCATCGTCCTACATGGCTTAAACCAACAGTCAGAGACTTCATACATTGGTGCCATGTTTTAGTCTGGCCACCTCGGGCCTTTTTCCAGCCTGGACCCACCTCAGCCAACATTGTGTGACGAGGCAATCGGTGACTAGGCATACGTAGTACGTGTCCCAACCATCTCAGTCGATGAAGGTTCACAACCTCGTCGACTGACTTACCTCTTCTCCCCAAAACTCTACACCTAACTTCTGCATTACTCACATGGTGACACCACGGAATACGTCCTATACTACGAAGGCAACGGTGGTCAAACACCTGAAGCCTTTTTGTATCCTCCACTTTCAATGGCCATGTTTCACAGCCATACAGTAGAACAGAGCGGACTGCTGTGCAGTACACGCGACCCTTAATAGACAAACGAATATCACGGCGGCGCCATAGGTGGCGCAAATTGGCAAAAGCCAATCGAGCCTTTTGTATCCGTGCAGAAATCTCATCGGCAACTAACCCACCAGGGTTGATCCTACTTCCCAGGTAAGTGAAGTGGTCAACACACTCAACCACTTCACTCTCTATTGTTAACCGCGGTACCGCTGAAGACCAGTCCTGGAGCAAAAATTTGCATTTGGGTGGTGAAAATCGCATCCCAAACATTCTCAAATTCCCACTCAAAGTGTTCAGAAGACTCTGCATCTTGTCAGCGTCTTCACCTAACAGGACTATGTCATCTGCATATTCTAGATCTAAGGAAAATTCACCTGTGATCCGGTCAACGTCTTTGTAATTAGGTGACGAGAGGGAAACCTCCATAAGAATATCTATGATAAAATTAAATAAGAATGGGGATAGTGGGCATCCTTGACGGACACCACTTGATGAGTATAGCTCCCTGGACAACTCACCATAGGCTCTAACATGCCCACAAGTGTTCGAGTAGAGAGCTTTCAATAAGGTGATGTACTTACTAGGCACGCCTTTCAGTGACAGACACTGCCATAAGACTTCTCGATCAACGGAGTCAAATGCCGCCTTCAGGTCGAGAAATACAGCTATTGTCGGGCGTCTGTAAGCATGCCTATGTTCCAGGACCTGGCGCAGTGTGAATATTTGGTCGATACATCCACGGCCAGTCTACGATAATCAAGTTTCGTAGCGACAACATTGGAATCTAGTGATTCCTGATAACGATACTTCTGCTTCTCAAAGGAACTAGTTTCTCCACCACCTCCCACTTTTCCCTAACTTATATGCTACGATTTGATCTCTCAACGAAAAAAGGAAATCACCAACTAGGCTGACTGAATAACTAAGTGATCTTAGAATTTACCACTGTCGGTGAATGTGGAATGCAACTGAAATCATACATACTGGAGTTATGCAACAAAGTCTCAATAGGCAATTGATAGAGACAGAGGAATGTGCATGAGACCATAACAATAATGAAGTATATATATATATATATATATATATATATATATATATATATATATATATATATATATATATATCTGTAGATAAATACACATACACATATCTTACTTTTCTTGTTGTTGCTTCAACTTTTTCTTTTCTTTCAGTGTTAAACGTCTTCGTTTTTTGGGATCAAATTCTCCTTTCGGTTGAAATTTAGCACGTTCCACATGAATAGTATAACCCGGTGTGTAGATCATACCGTCGAGGATTTTTAAAGCCAATTCCACAGATTCAACCTGATTTTATTAATCAATTAAATGGTGGAATTCACCATTCATATACAGTAGATACTGATTTTGTTTTGGAATGCAATATCTACTTCGATTATATAACATCAGTTTATTATATACCGAAAATACTCAAGCATAACATCCCAGTTCAACATTATCAAGTATATTTTTCCATCTCTCTCTCTCTCTTCTCATCTAACTTGCAACGATTATGATCCTCATAAGATTCTTCAACTGAGTTATACAACGCAAACAACAGTTTTTCTAGGTCGGAATGCTTATGTGATGTTTGTATGGGGTTCTTCATTTCGGACTGGTGTGAACTAATAATCTGTCTAAAAATAGTTGGTAAAGTGATTCACGATACTGATGATGTCACTTATGTGGGAAGTCACATCATAAATGGTAGATTGATGACTAACGAAATCTTAACATCGATACACAAAAAGTTCAATCGCTCATTGGTCTATACTAGTTGCGGAGAAGGTTAAATATCGAAATACTTTTTTTTAAAGTAACAGTTCACTTATTCCCATCATACAACGATAAATTTGAGAAGGCTATCCGTCTTTGAGTATCATTGCCTTTAACAGAGTCGTTTACATATCATGAAACAAACATGACAGTAATGTGAGTTACAAACAGAATACCATGTGAACTAGTCATATCGGTTGATAAGGTTCCGAACCTTGTTCAATTGAGGCTATTAAGACATGCGCTGCACATTCCAATTCATTGTGAATCACAAAATGGAATTTTAGCGGGTGACAAGAACAAAACATATCACTAGTCCCGGACATCTGTGATTATTACTATGATCGATATAAGGAAATGCCTTGATAAGTCCATGTAGTAGCTGAAACTGATGTTTGGGAACTCCAAGTGATACCGCACAAAATCAATGGCAGTAGTGTATACTGACCTACACTTGATGCCCACTTACATCATATGACATTTTGTTCTCTCCAACTCCTCTTAACGGATTTTCACAACTTTTATTATACTACCTCCTTTTTGTCTTTCATCTTGCTACTTGATCTGGACACGATGATTTGAGGTTTGGTAACTTCGATTAATACATAACAGTCCCCGACATCATGTTAATCATGACTAACTGACTGACTATACACAACATTCACTACCTTTTTAAAAAATTGGAACTGGCTTTAAGCATGTGAATATCATATCCCGGACTCGTTATTTTCAGGACCACAATCGGTGGGTCAGGAAGCACTAACAGGATAACTCAACACAGCTATCCTTAGTCTCATGATGTTACACCACACTGACCACCTTACTGTTTCTCTTAACCAGTCTCAGAGTTAGCAGACAGACAGTAGTTTGAAAACCACTCGGGTGAAATGCATAAAACATCTTTTACACCACTTAATTCTATGCTTCAAAATGATTTCTGTTACTAAATATCAATCTCAGTATGCCAAAACACACCATTAAACGTTAGAACTATTCACATGATATTGCCACCGGACACGAGTAATCCCACGGAAACAAAAGTGATCGGACATGTAGAGGGCTGTCAGACATCCTCATTTAGAAGAACGGTTATTCTAGGCTGTTCACGCCAAAAAGCAGTGCAATCTGCTTATTACAGTAAGAAAGAAGTAATGAAGTTGACAAGATCTAGATTAGCGCAAACCATTTTGGTTTTCACCATATGAAGATGGTACTCATCCACCACATCAGTAGACAGCAGCCTAGATATGAAAAGATTTTGATTACTTCCGATGATTGGTCAATAACCGTAAATACAGGCGTGCTAGGTTCCTAATAATCTCCCAAAAATATTAGTTATTTCGATAGTACGAAGAATGTGCTGTATCTATAGATACTAATGACTGGCGAAGGTTTGAGCAATCTGCACACTATACATCTAATGCCAAGAAATACACCAACTGCTTGCCACAATATGAATGACGGTCTACAAGCCTTCGATATAAGATGAGCACCGTAAATCCATTCACGACCCAAATGAAACCTAGTTCCTTCTGTGATGAACTACAGAGAATCCATAAAGTTTGAAAAACACCAGATAGATCCTTTTTGAGGACAGGTGAAATAAAAAAAACCCATCTAATTTCCTTATCAAAATCTCTCCTGGATCGACGAGAAAAAGCTGGAGATGTAGAATTACAAGGTGTCCATGGAAACCCAATGATTATGGAAATCTTTATTCTCAAAGCTGCAAGAGATTCTACACGCTATTTCTGCTGAGTATTTTGAGTGGATCCAATACTCGTCTACATGTCTCAGTGAATTAATAACTAATCTTGTGACTAACTTGACACAGAATTCAGTTACAAAATAAAGTGTCGTTAGCCAGTCTTTCAGTATAAATTTGTTTGGATTGGTGATTTGCCCTAACACCAAAGTAAAAGATAAGTCTGAAACACGTCATGATCTAAACCGGTAGTCCGTGAGCGACAGTCTTGTATGCAATCATGTGATCGATAGCCGAATGGAGTATAATCAATTTGGATCTATACTTGGGCATGCAATGGCTAAAAACAGACCATGGTTTAATCAGTATAGTAAAAAAAGACTTGTGAGCAGGTCCTCATTGGTAAACTGTACAACCCTTCCCTCCCCCTTGTCATAAAATCATCGGTTTTGTCAAACAAGTAGTTGTATGTCTATTACGCCATGACAAACCGACTGGGTAGAATTGTAATACGTATAGTGTAACTTTATTTGTAATGAACTTAAATGATGACAAATTTTACGACTATTATGTTTAAACCCTTAAATGCACATTCGTGATGATAACAAGGCAAATACTTTTCAGACACGTTCGAGCTCGTTAATAAATCACTGTGACACTGATTTACTCTCCAAAAAAAGGAATAGCTAATCATTGTATAATATGTTTCTTCAAATCTAATGTCATTCTTTAGTGTTATTTACAAAATACCACTAAACTACTTTTATTTATATATGAAAGAGGACTTCTTCAAACAATATTAGATCTCTTCATAGTACATTGTGCAAAATTATCGTCATTATCATCATATCATCAACATAGGAGCAGGCATTACCACGTAACAGTCCGAGTTCCCACACCTCATATCACCACATCAAGTAAAAAGTCAGTGAAGTGGAAGATGAAGATAAGAAAACTCAGTCAAACGAAATATAAAGTACTAAAAGAGAGAAAGGAAGAATGAGAAAATGGTGAGATTCGGTATAGCGTCGTTAAAATGAGGATAATGTGTGTATACATCTGCGCCACTGACATCGGTTCTCAGCCATGTGATCACCTAGAGTCCCCAACCACTGGTTCCTCTTGTCCAGAGACCCCAACCACCTAGTCTGCATAGCCCAACATGACTCAAATCAACAGTCAGAGACTTCATACATTGATGCCGTGTTCTAGTCTGGCCGTTTCGAGCCTTTTTCCGACGTGGACCTACTTCGACGAAGATTGTGTGACGAGGCAGATGGCGACTAGGCATACATAACACATGTTCCAATCATCTCAGTGATGAGGGTTTACAACAACCGTGTCAGCTGGTTTACCTCTTCTCCCTATAAGTCTACGACGTCTGAGGCTGACTCGTGCGTTACTCACATGGTGACACCACGGAATACGGCCTGTACTATGAAGGCGACGGTATTCAAACACTTGAAGCCTTTTCATGTCTTCCACCTTGATGGTCATGTTTCACAACCATAGAGTAGAACAGAGTGGAGTACTGTGGAGTACATGGAACTCTTAATAGACAATCGGATATCACGGCAGCTCCATAGGTGAAGTAAGTAGGCAAAAACCAGTCGAGTCTTTTGTATTCGTGCAGAGATTTCATCGACCAGTGAGAGCCAGCCACCAGGTCCGATCCCACTTCCCAGTTAAGTGAAGTGGTCAACACACTCAACCACTACACTGTTACTGTTAGCCGAGGTACTGTTGAAGACTACTAATTGTGGATCAACAATTTGCATTTGAGTGGTGAGGAACGTATCCGAAACATTCTCAAATTGCCACTCAAAGTGTTCAAAAGACTCTGCTTGTTGTCAACGTCTTCACCTAACAGGACTATGTCATCTGCGTATTCTAGGTCTAATGAAAATTCTGCCGTGGTTAGGTCCACCTGTGTGTAGTCATGTGACGAGAGGGAGACCTCCATTAGGATATCTATGATAAAATTGAATAAGAATGGAGACAGTGAACAGCCTTGACGGACACCGCTCGATGAGTACAGGTCTCCAGACACCTCACCATAGGCTCTAACACGCCCATAAGTGTTAGAGAAGGGAGCCTTCAATAAGGTGATGTACAGTACAATATTCATACCTACATTTTAGACTGGGTTTATATACCAAGCCTGGATGATTATGAATAAGTGAATGGTCTTGATGTACGATGACCTGAATAAGCATACAATCAAGTGGTGTGACTCACTAACCTAGATTTTCGAATGTGGAGAGACGGCTCATTAGTCTAGAGGCACTTGATTCCCAACAAATGGGTCACAGGTTTAAACCCAGCTCTATTTACGGAAGATTCTGCAGTTACGTAGTTTCATCAGCCCTCATATAATGGGTGTGCCTACTGCATGAATGTGTACATGGTTCCTGAGTGAATTTCAATTTGAGATGTTCGAATGTTGTAGTTACTAAAACACAAGGGAGAGATCAATAGCACTCTCCAAAATTACTTAACATGGGTGAAGATCACAGCCTCGTACAGTATCTCTGAACTTCATCGATTTTATTACCATAATAAACTTTTCAGTAATCTAATCTCCACAATCATATTGGAAGCAGATAACGATAAAGACCAAAGCTTGATAACGTAGATAAAATACAACTTTTTTATTTGAATAGCTATATAAGCTAATCATCAAAGGATCTTACCGACTGTGGAGTCAATGACGATGAAATTCCAGATCTAAAGTCTGGAAAATCTCGATGGTGTACCCACCAAGTTAGCTACTGCTTAAACCCAGCTGCATGATTTATCATAACTATCACTGGTCTTGGGGATTTACCGACTGAGTGTCGAATCTACTATAGAAGAGTTTCACTTCAACTTTTAAATAACCCAGTTACGGAAAAAATGGAATAAAATGGAATGAGATACTGGAATAAGGTACTTAACAAAACAGAATAAAGACAAGCCAACGTAGAACCTTCAATAGAAGTGCAGCAACTCAGGTCGACACACTATAGTAGCATATATGAAATTAACGGAGGTAAAAAGGCATTGAGAGAAAAGAGAGGAAAGAGATAAGTAATTGAAAACTAACTGCAATATTCATTATTTCATCAAAGATGAGAAGTGAATTCATATTTGCATCACTGATAGAGATTTAGAGTTGTGTTGGTGTGACAAACAATAACATAAGATACAGCATTTCGAGCATTCTAACCAAAGAACCTAAAGAACTCAAACCAAGTCAGATATCTCATAGATTGCTGCAAAAATAAGCTACAGATAAACTTGTGACATTGACACTAATTTGAGTCTGTGTCATCTAAACTCTTAAAGCACCTATCCGTAACATAAGTAAGAAAGGTCTTTACATTTTGTATAAGGTATACACTAAATAGTGTTTATGCTTATGGAACTGATGCTATATTAACTCAACCAGACTTAATCCTGCTTTCACAAACTTAGCTCAACACTTGCGTAATGCACGCTCACTATCACTGAATTAAACTGATCACCTTTCCCTAACCAAATGAGTAGTTGACACACCAAGGTAACCGTCAATCTCTCCTTTTTCTAGAAGTTTAGGGGAAACAATTACCCCTATTTGACATGGCATGTGGTCATTAATAATAAAGTACAAATGAATGCTGCATGGTCAACATGTGGTTGTGTAACGGCCTAGAAGAATGACAACAAAAACAACAAAGGGACTAGTAATGATAACTTAAAACGAATCCAATTCAGACATCGAACTGGAAGTAAACACAGATTTGGGATAACCAAGTATGTAAACATTTCCAAAGTATGTAAATTTAATTTCAGTTAAATATGAGTGGTAAAACTAGGCTAGAAAAAAAGGAATAATTGACACATGATTTTTACAAATTATTTTATCCCATACATTTGCTGCAAATATATACGAAATGAAATTGTACTGTACAGTCGAAATACCTAAACTCTTATGCAAAATTAAAACTCACCTTGATGTAACAGCAACGTCCGTCACCTTTAGGTTTACCAGTTTGATCTTTGTACAATTTAACACGCGGTACGTTACTAAATGGTTCATTCATGATAACACCACATTTAGACATTAAAGTTAAGAATTCATCATCTGTGATTGTTGGAGGTAGTCCACTGACATAAACATGTGTATTCTTGCTCTCGTCTATCTGAAGAACACAAAAGTGAACATTCTTAGTTAGTGTTATGAAAACCAAAACTGAACAGAATAAATATAAACTCATCGAACCGAAATGAAATGAAATCCTGACTGACAGTTGTTGAAAACAATTTTGAGTAAACATTTTCTTATCCACAGTGGTAAAAATTGAAGATGAGCATCTTGCGTCGGTTTGCCTGTGTTGACAGTTAAAATAAGGTGGCTAGTCGATCTTTTCTTATAAGTAGACTTCCGATTTAGTATATTACTCTTTATATTATTCTAAACTGATATGTAGTGGAGCATATCGTGAATTCAACTCATACATAAGTAGCACTCGTTCCTCTATGGCTCATTTTTAACTAGTTATTATCCTATCGAATTACATGGATCGGAACCAACACAAGTTTAACGTTGCTTATTTATTCCTTCTCAGTGCATTCAAATTAATTTTTAATATTATGAATAGCAGTCATAGCCATCAACTGAATAACTGTATAAAATAAATCCTAGCAAATCTTTAGTATTTTCCTAGGTTATTGAATCGACCAATCTGTGAAATAAAGCTATAGTGAGTGGGGCCGAAGAGACACTTAGGGATACGAACTTATGCACTACCTGCAAATCTTTATATTACACTTGATTAACTATTTTTTTTTATACGAAGCTCAGACTACACTTATTTTACTTTGGTTCATTTTTTATCAACGGCTGTTTTGTTTTAAAATCTGCAAACTAGTGGATAGTATATAAACATCCGGTTCGCCGGCAATTCTGTATTTTGATCTCATTCAACTGAGTCACAAGCTACCGACATGTTGATATCAATGTGTGGGCTGAAGTAGCAGTTCTCTCACTCTGACTGACTAGTCAGTCAGCAACAATTTACAGATTTATGAACTAAGAAATGAGCCACGTCCACTATATGGACTGATGGTAATATCACTGGAAGGTGGAATATAAGTCGAATGCATGGCCTATTAGTTGAAAACAATGTCTAGACCGATGAACCATGGCTCTACGACAGTTCAACAACTCATACAGTGTTATGTGAAGCATTTGTTTGCCCCAAAGACTAATCAAATAGGAATGACAGAATGAAAGAGAATACATTCTCCAAAACATCCTCATCGAACACTAATAAAGCTTTTTCACATTATGAATGTCTAAACGTATTGGGAAGCGCATTGTATCGCCTATGCATGAGCATACATTCTCTAATGGATCACAAAGACATAATAAGATTGACTCACTTCATACCACGCAGGAGGAGGGGCTGTCTGCTTTCTCTTTCGTGCAATAGATTCACTTTCAGCATCTTCATGGATAGACTGTAAGTTACCAGATGGTAATTGTTTCTCACATGTGTTATCTTCTACTTCATCGTCATCTGGATTTACAGGCTGAACACCAGATAATATTTCTGCTTCTGCCCGAGCCAAAGCAATATCGGGGTCATCTCCTTCATCCAGGAAATTACTGAGCATGCGTTCGGACGGTTTTAGTTCATGCTTCGCCTTGTTACTAGCCACTTTCTTCGGTTCATTACTTTTCTCTGCAGGTTGATTGCTTTGAGTTCCATTTTGTTTACAGCAATTTGCATACCATTCCCGATAGGCAGGGGAATTATAATAGGCCATTAATGACTCATTAGCAGCTTTCATAAGCTGCTGAACTTCTTCACAATCATCTCCTTTATCAGACCTAAGCTGAGCTAATTTTGCATTAAAATTTGTCCAGTCCACAGTGTTGGATGCATTTTCTGGTTTAACAGAAGCTTCACATTGATCAGCTGTACCGACACCATAACTCATCTGATATCGTGCAATGAAATCATCATCTATCTACACAACGTTCATAAGGAAACAATTTTGAAATCAAGTTAGAAGCATTCTAGCTTTTTAATTTATTAGAAAATACGATAAAATACAGCTCACGTATAATCAACCCCTATTAACAGCCAACTAGATACCCAGCGTTGAAATTTATAAATGACTACACAATAAACATGATTTACAAGTAACATTTTATGGATCGATCAATAAAACTAACCATTTTACCAAAAAGCGGAATGAACTACAAGAATGACAACTGCGGGGAGAACGCACGGGCGTAAGAATGAACGATAAACAACTAGTTATTTCACTGGAACTGTCCAGTCAGAAGTCTTTAAACTTCCAAGAACAACTCAATACTAGTGATCAAAGAGGCATTTCGTGCAGTCTAAAGTATCACTCAGTAAATCACAGCAATATTAAAGAGTCCAAAGGTAAAGTGCACAGCTGAATTCTGTTTTTTCTTTGTGCTGGAAATTACAACTCTCACTGAAATCGACCAATCGTCAAGTATTGGTGGTATAAAACTGTAAACAGCTATCATACTGTTGCTTGAGTGAAAAAGAAACAAGTAAATGGAATAAAAATGTACACAAAACGTATCCCAAGCCATAATTGATTGGATGAGCTACAACACAGGTAATACTTCATGGGACAACGGTACATCCCGCGAAAGCATCTAGGGGCAGAGACATGCAACAGAACACTGAAACAAGTCATGTGAAGACCGGGTGTAGGATCCTACCACACATAATCTGATACAAAAGACACAGATGGCTTGGCAAAGGTGCACAGGTAACTAAGCAACTCAGATCACCTGAGGGTGGTTATACTGGAGAATCCTTGAGTACCACTACCCAGTTGTATCTATTGTGTGGAGTAATGAACAAGGAAGGCAGGTGACTTGCTGAGGATGCCAACCCATTCTTCTTTTATAGGGATGCCAGGATTAGTTTAGCATCCTGGTCATCCGTGGAAAACACCTTACTTTTTACACCCCAGTCAACTAGTGGTACAACTTCAGTCTCGTACGCCCACCAAAGCATAATCTTTAAACGGCATCAATGTTATGAGGAGAAATGGGTGAATACTTGAATATTTAGATATACTCAGGTGTGAATCATTCTTTACTACACCGTGGTATCAAAACTACCCTCAAAAAGCTTTTCAGTGCACAACTGAACATGCTTTCTTAGGAAGTCAAGTATATCACAAACCCACCCACTTGCCATGTATTTGTATTGCGTCATGTGTGGAGTCAAGAGTAAGAGTAGAGGCGAAACCGATGAGTCAATGAATATGAAGGTTTTAAGTTCCGAAAAACTAGAGTGCTTTTGTTAAACCCAAAGCTTTTAATACGCTCGGCTACTTTATTTGACATGTGACAGGAAAATACTTTTTCATGGCTACGTACCTTGGGAAACCACGCTTTTCGTTTCTCATCCCATTCCATAACAGTCCCATCCGGATCTACTCTAGTCTTGGCCTCATTATGAACACTGCAAGAGTTCTGAAGTCGTATTTGCTCTCAAATTCACGTAGATCATCACTAGCAGTCATTTGGGGTATGTGTTTGTCCACGTCCAATACGAAGAGTACACCGATTGATTTCCCCGCACTCCCTTCTAGAACAATATACCATATTTAAATGGTTCAAATGGTTGTTGACGGAAGAGAAGCTTTCGCTTAACTGGCTTCCACGTCTACAATCCATGGATCACTACTCATTTTGATTGTTAACCTGTTGTACAAGTAAAGAACGATGAAAAAGTGGCAATTAAAATGTGAACATTCACTTAGTTCTGGGCAGATCCCAGACACACATCAAGTGGGTATCCAGTCGGCGTTTAAAGGATTCAGGCGAAGTAGCCTGATCACATCTTAGGAAGAGCGTTCCAGGGTTTAACAACTCTTAGGGAATAGAAGTTGTGCCTGACATCCAGCCTGCTATGTTCCAGGCTTAGTTTATGTGCATGCCCTCTAAGATTAGCGTTGCAGCCAAGATTTAATAAGTGTCGGAGTGGGTGGTCAGGCGTGCTCAGAATGTTGTAAGTCATTATCGAGTCTCCTCTTAGCCTTCTGTATTCTGGAGGATACAGATCCAGCGCAACCAGCCGTTCTTCACATGTTTTGGACCTGAGTCCTTGAACAGACTTTGTCGAATGCCTCTAGATATGTTTTCAGCTTAGTTTATCCTTTTGGAGATAAGGGGGAAGACGATGGTCCCGAACTCCAGGTGAGGCCATATGAAGCCTTTGAAAATTTGGTGGAAGCATTTACGATCGAACTGCACGAAAATTCGTCTAAGAGTTACTAACGCCAAGTTCCCATGAAGTGCGTTTCTGTCACAGTTGGCATAGGATTTCAAGTCCTGGGGACCAACCCACCCAAATCCTTTTCCGTCAGTGACGCTTCAAGTTCCATGCCGTTGAGGCTATATACACGAGATGCATCATGTTTTAGTGTATTACCTTGCATTTCTCAGGATTAAACGCAAGCCCATTGTTGACTGCCCAACTGTGAAGTCGAGTCAAGTCTTCCTGTAGAGAAACACTGTGTTCCTCACTTTTGATTTCCCTCCAGAGTTTCACGTTATCGGTAAAATGAAGGATTTCGGAAGAGACCTGTTGAGGCAAGTCGTTTATGTATATTAGGAAAAGGAGAGGCCCTAGAACTGAACCTTGGGGAACACCACTAGGACATTCTGTTTCTTTAGACACAGAAACTCATCCGAACTCTAAATGAACGGCCCCGTAGATATGAAGACAACCAGTCAGTGAGCGGAGGTCGAATCCCAATTAATTTTAGTTTATCAATAATACAGTCGTCATCAACACAATCAAACGCCTTAGTAAAGTCTAGGTGGATAACATCAATTTGTCCTCGACGGTCAACAATGGTAGCTTATCTAACTACTGCAGTGAGCAAATTGCTAATGCAGGAGTGCTCCCCTCGAAATCCATGTTGTTGGGGTGCAAAGAAATTTTTCTTTGTGAGGTAATCCCTCAGTCCATCGTATATCAACGATTCCATCACTTTAGAAGGAATGGATAGAAGTATCACCGGTCTGTATTGCTTCGTTGGCCCCCTTTGAAGGTTGGCGTTATGTGGCCCAGCTTCCAGGAGTCAGGTACTATCTCTAACTCAGGAACTCCTAAATAACTTACTTAAGGGTTCGGACAAGACTGAGGCCCCCCCTCGCAGTACCACTCGATGGATTTTATCTGGTCCCGGAGAGGTGTCTCTGGTGAGCAGTAGCAGTTTGCGCTGTACTAGCTCAACGCTTAGGTCGACCATCTAGAGTCCTACTTCGTTAGTGGGATATTTGTAAGCTCCTGAGGGGGTGGACGATGACGAAAAGATTTGCAGACACTGGTCGGCCAAGGGCTGAGCTGCTTCAGTGTTGCCATTAGTCAGTCCGTTTGAACCTAGTAGTTGAGTGACCCCCGCTTTAGCCTGTCGGAATGAAGCAGCGTAGCGGAAGAGACTTCTCGGGATCAAACTTCAAGTTTAACGAGCTTGTGTAAACCAGTTTATTTCTTCTTCCTCGGCTCTCGGTCTTGCGGAACGGTTCCAGGACTTTAGTGGATTCCGGTGCAGTAGATCCAGCCACACGTCTGCTATATCTTTGACTGGTACTGAAAAGGCGTATGAGAATTACCCGAAAGGTGAATGTGGACCATACGGGTATAGTTGCTGGAGAAGAGTTAGTAGATAACGTAGGTGCATCAACGAGATGGAGTGGTAAACAGGAAAGAAGTGGCGGTGGGCTAGTGAGGTTAGTAATACCCTGAAAAACACCTGTAGTTAGCCTTAAGAAATGACGCAATTGTCTTTTGAATGGGTCTACCCAGGATGCTGTGGCTGCGTCACGCAGTGAAGTATCCTATAAAAGACACTCTTAAGGAAGAAAGGTTGGACCTGAGCCTGGTGCCAGCTCTCTGATGTTCTATCCCTCGTAATGACCGCCATAGTGCAGGCAAGACTATTTTGTGCATGGCTTGTTTAATGAGCAATCTTGTGAGCTATAATAGGGCCAGTCCCCTTCCTGAGAGTGCTACAGTGAATGGATGTAGGTGTCTCATTCTTTTGTGTCCGGCCTGCTTAAATCTTGGGCCGCAAAAACATTCTTCACGAACAACATTCCGTCAAATTCTTCCCTTCGTTTGATTTGATTTGTCAAATATGCCTTCTAAGTGCATCGCGTACTGTTGTGCTGTCTTGAAATGTTTTCAAACTCTCGTTTCTGAGGATGAGAACGAAACGAGGGATAGAGCTGTGTTGCATAAAAATGGGCATGTAGATGCTTAAAAATGCAGTTTTTGTTATGGTTGATTGAGCCACCACCAGCATGGTTTTGTATTTCAGCCACAACCCGGACTAGACACTAGCTCTCTATCTGCTACTCATTCCAAACTAATGCTTTAAATTTCGTTGTCATCTTCACTATTCAGGTGCGAAAGTTTTCCTCTTAAAAATATTATGCGGGGAGAGTATCTGTTGAAACATCACCTGCCGAAAGTTCCACAGTTCATCATGTGTTTTGTTTGGAATAAAGCTATTATTATTATCATTGCTATCACTTACTGTTGTTACTGTCGCCCTTATTGTTGCTATTATGTCACTGCACGCCTTTCCCAACGACCTCACTACCGATTTTATTGCAGATCTTTGTATCTTCTGAAGGAGATTCGAGTCCCTCTCGAGTTTTGGAGGTGCTGCCACATTGAGGTCCTCCAGGTTCGGCCCTACGTGAGATTTGAGAACCGTGAGAGGCAGTCTCGGGGTGAGAGCACCAAGCCGTTCAGACAGGAAGTGTGAAGTGGTGTTCTTTGTGCCTGCCGCTTCCTCTCAGTCAAAGCTGGCTTACAGGCTGTCCGAGAAGTTGAGCCCCATGTCTTTTTCGTGGACAACCCGGTGATCCCACGGTAGTTCAACCTGCACTGGGGTCTGCTGTTCTTGCTTCCTGGGTGCTGATGTGCATAACTTCGCACTTTTCCAGTTTGAAGCCCAAGTCATTTTCCGACGAACAAAGTCCTAATAGCTACAGGTCACCTAACGGTGCTGCACAATCAACCGCTTATTTTACTTCTCCCCAGATTCCAGTGTTATCAGCGAAGAGGAGGATAGACTAGTAGGTTTTGTGCGGTAGATCGTCGACGAACAGGAGGAATTAAACTTTGCCCATGGTTACTCCTAGGTATATCCCCGATGTTAGTTGTCTCCACCCCGACCGGATTCTGACTGCTTTGGTGAAGAACTATCTGCCTTCTGGGTACACTTTGAACCAGGAGAGAAGAGGAACGCTTGTACCGATTGACTTGAACTTGCGAGGCAGGATGGCAGGCAGAACACCATCAAATTTTTTAGCTAGTTGAAGAATAATAAAATATACGCTTTCCTGGTACCCGAGCTAAAAGTCTGATCATCTTAGGTAGTAGGCAAGTCGGTGGTCTGTTAAAGACTGCTCCAGTAGCCATGCTGAGCGAGATGGATGGCGTTTTCTCCGTTAAGGAATTACCATATCTCGTTGGTCATCCGACATTCGAACTTCAAATATTGCGCGCCTTTGGTCCCAGTAGTGGAACCTATTTATGTGGAGAGAGATGGAAAATTCATGCCCGTCTAACGAACTGCAGTAAGTTTTGATAAGATTATGGATGTCAATTAACTGGCATGTGAACCATTCAATGCTAAGTAACACTCGCAGACTTTCGATAACTATCAACTTGATGATGCCCATTAGGTCTTCTCCCGTGCCAAATTCATTACATGACAGTAAAAATTATCACCATTATTGTTCTGACGATATGGACGGTGCGGGGAGGAAGCCCATCGGTCTGAGGCTGTCAGGTTGTTTTCAGTCTCGTCCTTGCTATTTGGGTCACTCACTCCCATTCCTCGGGAGTCTACATGACGCCGGCGAGTGCTCGAAGAGGCCACAGATTGGCTTCGATGGTGCCTCGATACAGTTCTTCAAAATCACAGATGTCAGGTAGTCGCAGCTAGGAGACTTGACATGATCGGCCATGGATAATTCTCTCGATAATTCTTCCTGTTTAAAGCAGATTTGGGTAAAGGTATTCATTACTTTTAGTTTGACAATTGTCATATCGCACCGTCACAGACTTCGTGTCAGAAGTACTAAGATACACCCCGAAATATTCCGCTCAGGAAACAATTGCACCCACCAAACTCGACCTGAAAATAACTCTACATTTAGATGGGAAACTCGACGCAAACTGAGAAGACTAACAAGAAAGTACCTTGTTTTGAAAGAGTTTCATATACTGAATCAGGCGCATGCAACATTTCATTCACTTCAAGAAAGACACCGAATGAAGGCACTGGCCGAAGAGCGTAGGGCCCTTGATAGTTTGTCCAAAACACAAAACCTTTGCAGCATCCTGCGAAAGCAAAAAAATACAAAAGACCTTTTAATAAATCATCTGG